AGCATTTACTCAAATAATTGTATCTATAAAAAAAAAAACAAAAAAAAAACAAACAGAACATGTACATCTCCAAGTATAAGATAGGTTAATACCAATGTCTAAACATATTTTTAAAAACTGCTCAATACAGAGTAGAGCTTAATATTTAATAACAATTATAACAAAAACATGCTATAAACTGCTACATAAATGCAATCATGTTCCAGCACATTATTGTTAATAAATATTATTATTATTATATATATATATATATATATATAGACTGTACAAGTAATATTATCCCTATATTTTATGTAGATCTCTATTATAATGTCATCAGGTTTAGTCTGTCAGCTCAAACAGGTTTCAAAGAAAAATGCTGATATAAAATATATCAAGAAAAAAAAAAAAAAAAGAATATGTATTACTAATTAGTCAGATTAAACTCTGAAAGTAAGTCATTAGATCCATGCATACATGATAGTAAAATAAAAACTTTGCATCAATAGCACTAAAATGTTAAGAATAATGAAACTGAAAATGGTCTCAAATGTTATAACAAAGTAGAGGTGGAAAAAAAAGAAAAAAAAAGATTATACACTAATAAAACTACCTTGCTCAGTGTCTACTTATCCATTTAAGCTCTTGCTGAGCAAATTCAAATTGGCACAAAAAGACTTTAAAAAATTTACATGTGGGGGGGATTAAAGTTATACAAATGGTGTTAAATATATTTCTATATAGGTGCACCCTTTTCATGGGAGGTGATAACAGCTTCTGATGAATCTTTTCTAACATCACTAAAATAAACAAATATATTAAACATGCCACAAAAACATTTACAAAAATCAGTACAGAAAAATTTTTATATATATATATATATGAAAACCAAAATGCTCATAAGTAGCATGAAACATTACAAAATGTTCTTTCAGAAAAAACATTTCTATTGCATATATGGACATGAGACAACACAAGAATAAAAGAACAATATTAACAATTTATAGGAGTTAACCAAGATGGTCTATGGTTTTATACCCAGTTCAATAGCCAGGATTTTGAATACCAATTTTCAATACCAGCGATCCTTCCCCATTAGGACTGGCACAACACAATCTTCCTATTACTGTCCCATTTGACCCAGTGTCACATCATGATAAATAAAAAAAGCCAATGGCTTACTAAATATTATAGAGAACAAAAAATACATAGTAACTATTTATGAGCCAATATTTACCGGCCTCCCCATATAGTCTCTTTAAAGCATTGACATACCCATGTCGACAACAATAGAAATTATCCAATCGATCAGCCTGTGTCATATAATAATCAGAAAACTTCAACTTTTCTCTATAAAGCTCAATGGAGAGGTGCTACCATATTTCAGAAATCACCAAGATAATGCTCACCTTGTGCTCTGTTGCATCCTACCCCAAAACAAGAACACAGATGAGGAGAGGAACAGTTCCTACACTCTGATCTCAGCCTGAAGAAGTGTGAATGTATGGTGTAAGCTCATAACTACAAATATTCTCAGATATTTTTTTTATAATCAATTTGAACTGTATGGTAGATTATGATAACAAAATGACAATATCTGCAATAAAATTTTGACAAAATGTCTGCTTATTGCTGTTTGTGTTGGTAAGTGGCATAATTAAAAGAACAATTTGTCACTAAAATTATCCTTAAAATGAAGAACACATTTGTGAATTAAAACAAGTCTCCACTCTTTTCTCTAATCATCTCATTTATCTTGCTCATGGCAACAAGGAGTAAAATTTTGTGTTTTATTCCTTTTTAAGAATTCATACACATTTATTCTCAACACAATGACCTTTTTTTAATGTAAAATTTTCTTCTAAATGTTTAAAGTTAAAAACAAAAATGGTTTAAAAATAGATCTTTATGTGAATAAACTAAATTAAAAAAAAAAAAAAAAAAAAAGGAATGTCTTCAATCCCTCTACAAAGTGATCAGTATATTTTTCAGTTCAATATTTTTAGTGTGTTTTTTAGTCAATTATTAAGCAGCACACATATAGTATAAAAGAAAAAAGTTAACATTAAGTAATTTGCACAATGATCAGATTGCAGAATAGGATTTTTCAGCAACGAATTTTTTTTTTTTTTGTTTTTTGTTTTTGAGCAAAAGGAACTGCATACGCGGAAGGTAATTTTTTTTTTGCTCTATGGTTGATGCAAAGTATCTAGCTCTTGTAAGACACACACACACAAAAAAAGTTAAATGACGTTCAGGAAAAAATGTCTTGAAGAACAGCTGGTTTCCAACACAGATGAGTTGTGGGTGCAAAAAGCTTTTGTTTAAACGGCGAGATATAATAATAAAATCAATGATTATTGACCCGATCCAGAGAAATCTACTGCAGTTTTCTGAAACAGTGTAACTAGTTTCAGTTTCGCAGCAGAAAAGAATTGACATTACAAAAATTATTGTTGGTTGTTACAGTAAGTAGGTCGAATTTTTTTTTTTAAAGACTCTCACGTCTTATTCAACAGAAAAGTGTTACGATAGGAAAATAAAAATGTCTTAATCCATTTCGATGGCATATAAAAGAGAAAAATAAGTCTGAGGTGCTTCGAGTTCGTTATTCCTTAGTTTTTTATCTTAATAAAATTTAAAATCAGAATCAACAAGCCTTGTACCATCTGGTCATAGAAAAACAGTGAATGGATAAAATTCAAACAGTTCGTAACAAGGTTCATCAGTAACACTTTTTAATTAGATTTCCCTTAATCAAAGAAAGGGATCTTTTTATTTATGTTCATTAATTTTATAATGAAGAAGAAATCTGTAATGTTTGTACGCACTGCACTAGCAAAGATAATCTTTCTTCTTTTTTTATCGACTAAAGAAAGAATAACGAGATTGGGACGCTGCTGAACAAATTGGCCACCATCATCATATCTGATATGACACACACACACATTCATTAGGCTTTATTCTAGTAATTACACTCACAGTATTAACGATCACACGACAAAAATTAATATTATATACACATGATAAAAACAATAATGTAAAAGTATGTTGCAATAAGTGAGAAATTAATTAATTGAAAATGGCAAAACTAAAGAAATATTTCTCATTTTTACTTGGTAAAAAACAGTACATACACTATTCAAAATAGTACTATCAAACATAACGAATAAAAGAATAATTAGATCTGAAAAAAAAAACAAAAAAAAAAACTTACGAGTGTTCGATAAGAGAAATAAGAAGACTGACTGGATTGACGATAATCCTTTTTCTAGACTTGATTTATCTGACTGGAGTGCAGTAGCTTTTTTTTAAAAATTGTAATGTAAACTAAACACTGATGCTGTGTGCGTGCGTATATTTATTTATTTAACTAAGTCAATCGGACACCAAGTATTGACCTGAAAATTAAAATTTATTTAATAAATCTTCAGGAAAAAAACAAAATTAACAAAACAACAGAAAAGAGAAACCAGAAATCGATCTTAAATTCGATCATGTTCATCATCTCCAGTTTTCAAACACAAAAATACGTGTAATTATAAGTGATTTTTTAAAAAAATTTAACTACAGATGACCAAAAATTATCAATAAAAGACTACTTATTCGCTGTTTATACATATTTCAACATGAGTTGAAAAGTTTTAAGTTTCATAAAAAAAAACAAAAAAAAACAAAAAAAAACACCCTTCTTACCACAGTGATACACACAAAATCATTTATTTGTCATCTAAGAATATTCACTAAGTTTTAACACCATGAAATATATAAGGTTTATTTGACCGGCTTTACTACTTGCAAGATTTCCGCGTATACTTTTGTTTGAATCATCTGTTCAACCTTTCTTAAAATACTATCATGGCTGAATCGAACGTCTATAGATCTTCTATCCATCCGTACTTCTGTGAACGTAAGTGATCAAATAGTGTTAATCATAATCTAATATATGATATATAAAAAAAAAAAAAAGGGGGGGAAATAGACTGTCATTTTATATAAAAACAAGAGAAATATGACGTAAGTGTCAAACAAACCATACTAAAAGTAAGCAGAGATAAATATGGACTGGAGCTGTCTGACATGTTGAAGGTAGTTTCAGCATCATCGCGAAATAATAAACTCACACACCCTCCAAAGTAATATTTCATTGCAATACGCCCTAAAAAAAAATTTAAATTACTAGAAAATATTTAAGAAAATAAAACAAATGACAAGTAGTATAGGTCTATTTCCAGTTTTGTTTACTTATAAGTGTTTTGTTAAATGCTGGAGTTGAGAGAAACGAAAAAAAACAAAAAACAAACAAGAAAACCTCTGTCTGCTACTTCACGTAATTTTAGCGTAGTGTTGAATTCTAATGGTTTACGCACCATCTGCCGACAAAACCTGAGAGTTATAATTCGAAACTGTATTAAACTGACAACTCGATCACAGAAATACTTTGTACAGACATAACAATGTACAATATAACGAAATTGAACAGCAACATATATTAAAACATGGTTCAGAACTAAACTTGTTAATACGAGTCAGAAAATAATAAAAGAAAATACTTAAAAACAAATTCGAAGAAATTAAGATAATCAAACAAAATTTGCTAACAACTCAAAGAAAGACCTAATGTTGGTAATGTTAACAACTATACTTCTCAATAAAATAAGAACGCTTACCTTAATATGTCATTCATTTAATCAACGGGTATTATCATTACTACTAGGCCATTGTGAAGAGCTCACTACGGCTGGAAGATCATACCATCAAACAATATATTTTTAGATATCAAAATATTTTTATAAAAACATTTATATTTTTCATTTTATACCATAAAACTGTATATTAATATACTATTTTCAAAAAATAATCAAAATTATATTTTGTTACAAAAATGGACTGGCTCGAGAGTTCATAGACTATTCCCGTGTTAATGTTCACGTGACTTCCCTTCTGTCTTTTTCATTTGGGTCCGCCATTTGGGTAGCTGTTCTATAGGTGCTGGTGATTTGAATCGAAAGCAATCCAAGATGGTATGTACGAATATTGATAATTTTTTTCAGTTTTATTTATTCCTTATCATCTGTTCCAACCATAAAAATCGAAATTAATCCTGCACATCATGCTTTTTTTCTTTTTTATTCTGTTTTTCACTGACACGTATTGTGCTTGTCAAATAATAGTTCCTGCAGAAACTATGAAATTTTAAAATTCTTCTAATTTAATAGATTGATCTTCCCCATTCCATTTAGTTTTGTCATATTTCTCATCCTAATTAGATTTAAACAGATAATTAATCTTCTGCAACTTCTTAAATATCTTAGTTTTTTCTTAAATTGTTATTACGCAACTAATCTTTAGTTTGACGTCATCATGTCTTATTTTCTCGTGTCTCTTTTTTTTTTCCCCTTTAAGCTTAGTTTTTCTCCTTTCTCCTATTTCATAGAAATTCTAACTTTATTTTATAAATTCTCTTCTGCTTCTATATTATTTCTGACAGTTATGTAATTACACATCGTTTATTCGCCCAATGATTCCAAAATTCGGTACGCCATATGCTTACTCTAATAGATTAACATTTAAATTTTCGCTTTAGAAAGTGTGGTCATGCCTCTATGCTTCTTTTCTTTTCATCTTCAGAAGTTTAGAATATTGAAAATATATTTAATGTTCTAGTGAACTGATAAGTAAAATACTACGTCGTTAGAAAAAATCGCCTAGCAGTGGTAGATTTTGATGAGTGACTACGATTATCTGTAGCTGCTACACAATATCTGATCACAAATGTCGAATATTGATCTACATTAAGAGAATAAGTGTATGTATGTTATATATATATATATATATATATATATATATATATATTTACACACACTTCCCCAGTTTCTATAATAAAACCACCTTTTTGTCATTGCCTAAATAATATTCAATGTAAGGATTTTTAAGCAATAACTTTTTTAATTGGATATTTTAAACCTATAATCGAACATGAAAAAAACACTGCCACTTTTAATGATACAAACTTTTTTTTTTTAATGTTACCTTAATGATTTGTGTCCAAAAATCTAATTAACATCATAATGTTACTAGTTTAGGTCGATGCTTTTGTTTCAGACTTGGATATTTATCAATACTTGTATTTTACGTTAATTAGTTTAATTTCTTTGTATCATTGTAAAAGAAGAGTTAGGTTTTAGTTAGACGTATAATTAAGTTGCTACCTTTTTTAATGACTATGTCCTTGTTAGGTGTAAATGTCAGGATAGTAGTTGAGAATTCCCAAATATTTTACAAGATAAATTTTCTGCTTATTTGAAAGTTTTATCTTAATATTAAAACTTTCATTTCAATGTTTTTCTTTCTTTTTCTCTATTTCCCCCGCAAAAAAGAATTTTACTGGATTATGATATTATGATCATCAATGAATTGTACACTTTCATTTTTACTATCATCACGTTTTGTATTTCAGGTGAACTTCACAATTGACCAGATCCGTGAGATCATGGACAAAAAAAACAATATTCGAAATATGTCTGTGATTGCTCATGTGGATCATGGCAAATCAACCTTGACTGACTCTTTAGTTAGTAAAGCTGGTATCATTGCCTCTCAAAAGGCCGGGGAAATGCGCTTCACTGATACACGTAAGGATGAACAAGAAAGATGTATCACCATTAAATCAACGTGAGTCAATAATTCATTTTTCTCTTTGACCGTTCATCAATTTCATTCAATAAAAAAAATAACCTAATATCCTTTGAAATTTAAGGATCCGGCAGAAAAGATTTATAAATTTTAATAATAGAAATAATTTTAAATAATGAGTTTGAGTATTAAATGAGATTTCGGATCTTTTAAAAAAAAAAAAAAAAAGTTAATCCACATGGAGTTATATATATATATATATATATATATATATATATATATATAATTTTATCCCTTGTGTCCTATGTGACGATTTTACGAAACAAATTTCAGTTTCTCGAAAACATAAAATAAGGATATTTTTCTTTTTATAACTTTGTATTCCTGGTGTCTGTATGTATACATCTGATAACAGGAAATGTTTTCTGTTAGTGGAGTGAAATTACTTTCAGCAACACTCACGGAAGTGTGTATGGGGGGGGGTATAGGAAACCAATGTTCTCTCATACTTTAGGTGTTTTGTGTAAAACGTAAATTTCTTTTGTTAATGTTAAGGTATTTATGTTTATGCCACCAACTTTTCTTTGTCGTGTCATGTTCATGAAATTGTTAGTAAATAGTAACTTTGGTTTTGATAACGTATATTTAAATCAATGTTAAGTTGCTTATGGCTAAGTTTGATAACATTTTAATGCTCTACCCATGTAGACCTTTATCTTTGCCCTCCTTGCAACAATTGACATCATGCCCAATAAACATTTTTGAAAATACTCAGTTGATTAGTGTAATTATAAATTTACTTTCATTATGTTCTTTATTTTTCAAGATACACACACACACTTAAAAACTACTGCAGAGGGCTCTTAAGCCTTCAGCACAAAAAAGTAGGTATGAGTAGATACGATAGGCAACAACAGAACTCAAAATTGCTGCTTTTAAATATTTCATTCATTAATATCTAAGCTTTCCTTTTAAAAGTTCAACGATAATTCTTCTGCTACTACTTAAACTCAATTTGATATACATAGGTCCTTACTTTCCATACAATTATTTTTATTTCATGGGTGACTTTTGCTGGATTTTGTATTTTTAAGTTAAAAAATTATCATAAAAAAAATTTTGTTGCAAAATATCAAACATGCATTAATGAAAACTTGAGGAAAAACCAAGGATTGCAGGTCTAGTTCCAGTCCAGAATGTTTTTAATCTGCACACTGAGTCAGCCTTATTCCAAAATATGTTGATATATATTTACTAAGGGTAAAGTTGAAAAAATGTGACACACTGATATTCACACTTATTATATAGATGAACTATTGAAAGTTGTGTCCCTTTGAGAAATTGTGACACTGACATTTGCATTTATGTAGATTTTGTTTTTCTTCCCCAAAATATACTTTCAATAATTTATAATATAAAAATTAGTTGCATTTCTCATGTACACAATTTTCAAGTCAAATGCTGACACAACTTTGAAGCTGCCTCTTTTCCCTGAGCTACAGAACCTTTTTGCAAACGGAAATCATCTCCATCAATAGTAAACGTTTTATGTAGAACATAGCTAAGCCACTAAATATTCAATTAAAATTTTAGGAAGTACCCCAAAAATTATTTTGAAAAGTCTTCTATTCTTGATTCTATTAGCATTTTTATCTATGATGTACTCCTTAAAGTTACTCAGCTTTTGGTAAATTATTTTTTCTCTCGTATAATTGGCACATTAAAATAGTGTTAAATAGAATGATTAAACAATCTTTCTGTAATCATGGTTAGCAATGAGTAATTTGTCAGCTAAAAATGGTATGTCAGGATTTTTTTCTTTTTTTTTTTTTTTGTCTCAAGTGAGAAAGCAAGATTCAGTGCTAGTCATATTGCCTCTGCTGAAATTCAAAGCTAAGTTTTCTAATAACCTTTTAAATGATTCCTATTATTGTGCTTAGCATATTAAATTTTGTGATATGCTTTGCTAGACGGGCAGTTTTAGGGCTATTTATTTGGCAGTTGGAGCCAAACTCCACAGGAGATTGACAATAAATGTAGTTCAAAGAGCAGTTTCTGTACTTATTTGTGCTCACCTTTTTCAAACGGCAACTTTTTAAGAATGTGAATTTATTCTGGGTATTGCATTTTTCTTCTTCAGTGCCATTTCCTTGTATTATGAACTACCAAAACAAGATATGGAACAGGTGCAACAAGAAGTAGATGAAACGAGCAATGCTTTCTTGATCAATTTGATTGACTCTCCTGGCCATGTTGATTTCTCTTCTGAGGTCACTGCTGCCCTTCGTGTCACTGATGGTGCTCTTGTTGTTGTTGACTGTGTCTCTGGTAAGATTTTCTTTTTAAATTCTATGAATGAATTTTAATTTTCTTTAAGTATTTCTTTATATGTAAAGAATTCACTGATTATTTTCAGGTGTCTGTGTTCAGACTGAGACTGTATTGCGACAAGCAATTGCTGAACGGATCAAACCGGTCTTGTTTATGAACAAAATGGATTTGGCTCTCTTGACTTTGAAATTAGAAAAGGAAGAAATGTATCAAACATTCCAACGTGTTGTTGAGAACATCAATGTTATCATTGCCACTTACGGTGGGTCAGATGGCCCAATGGGTGATGTCATGGTAAATATATTTTCTCCTTGTCATTAAGTAATTCCAGTTAATATTTCACATCAAATAGGTTCTATTGGTAAACTTTATATCTTACTTTTATCAGTTAAAACTAATTTTTATATTTCAACGTTTAATTTCTTCTAATTGTTGAATTGAAAAAATTGTTTTAGGTTGATCCCCAAAAAGGTAATGTTGGCTTTGGCTCTGGACTCCATAGCTGGGCATTTACTCTAAAGAACTTTGCTCAGATGTATGCAACAAAATTCAAGATTCCCGTTCAAAAACTAATGAAAAGGTTGTGGGGAGACAATTTCTTCAACTGCACTGACAAGAAGTGGACCAAACAAGGAGTTAAAGAGTCTGTGAGAGGTTTCATCCAGTTTATCCTGAGTCCTATCTATCAGGTAAGTTTTGTTTTTTTTTTTTTTTTTTTTTTTAAGATATAACCTGATTTCCTGTGTCTTGAGTCATCACTTTCTCCAGATTTAAAACTATTATATAAGAGTATATTTTTGTTAGTGTTCATTGTTTCATTCAGTCTTTGCATCATCCAGAAAGCGTATTAGATGTTATTCAGACTTCAATATGTATGCAATTTTATAGGTTGACTTAGGCTAGAAAAGTATTTTTAGATTTGTTCAATTAAGATGCAGCTGGGAGTGACTGGGGAACACTTCAGAAAGTACTGAGGCTCCATTCCTATGTATGGGCGCCACTGCCTGAGGAATCGGGCAACAACTACATCGAGTTTGGGCCATGTTAGGTAGCTCCAGGCTCTCTCTCTCTCACTCCCTCTCTTATTTAGCCTTGTTCTGCTCACGTTTTTGACTGACTGTTTATGCTAGCAAAATATGCTTACAAGCCAAAATATATGCTTATGCATTCAAGGATAAATAATATCAAGACATCAAAGAAAATACAAGAAAACTTCTGCTTAAAAGATTACTCGACCGTTTCACTTAAGTTTTGATTTTTTTTATACACACACACATTCTTGACTTTGCAGTTTTATTAGCATTAGTGTTTTGTTTTAGGTGTTTGAAACCTGCATGAATCGGCCGCAAGAAGAGGCTCTTCAACTGGCTGAGAAAATGGCCATAAAGCTTACCGCTGAAGAGAAAGATCTGCGAGAAAAACAATTGCTCAAGGTAAGTTTGTTTTTTTTTGTTTGTTTTTTTTGTTTTTTGTGTGTGTGTGGGGGGGGTTACCTCCTATCTCTATACATGCAGTCTCTTTCCTTAAGGCTGCAACTTTGTGCCTAACATTTGTGTTTTCTGGTTGAAGGTGATGATGCGTAAGTGGCTGCCAGCCGGTGATGCACTACTTCAAATGATTGTCATTCATCTTCCATCTCCTGTCACTGCCCAAAGATACCGTATGGAAATGCTCTATGAAGGCCCTCAAGATGATGCTGCTGCAACAGGTAAGCATTGGCTATTCTTGAATTTCATTTGATACAAAATCACTTTTCTTTCTTTTTTTTTAATAATATCTCTATCAATCTAGATATCCCTCTATCAATATACATGCATACATACATACATACATACATACATACATGACATTGTATGCACACATCCAAAAATATTTGTTCATTACCAATTAGATTGATTAACTTCTGGTTTATTAATTTTACAGCTGTCAAGAGCTGTGATCCTTCTGGTGTTCTCATGATGTATATCTCTAAGATGGTTCCAACCTCTGATAAAGGACGTTTCTATGCCTTTGGTCGTGTTTTCTCTGGTACAGTATCTACTGGTCAGAAGGTCCGCATTATGGGGGCCAATTTCACTCCAGGCAAGAAGGAAGATCTTTATGAAAAAAAAAGTATCCAAAGGTAAGGGCTTTCTATTCTCCAATGACTATTTAACTAGTTATCACAGTGTTTGCTTGTTTAGGTAAACTCTGAAGTATAAAATTCTTTTGTGTTTGGAAATGGGTTGCATTTGTGTTTTCTGACTCATGAAAATAAAATGCCACTTTTCTTTTTATGCTGACTTATTTTAACTTCTCCCTAGGACTATGTTAATGATGGGAAGATATGTGGAACCTATTGAAGATGTACCATGTGGAAATATCTGTGGTCTTGTCGGTATTGATCAGTACCTTGTAAAAACGGGAACCATCACCACTTTCAAGGAGGCTCATAACATGAAAGTAAGAAGCTAATTATGCAAACAATGTCCTATTTTGCTTGAATAGGATATACTTTTTATTTATTTATATATATATATTACTGGGAGAAATTCTCCTTTCTGAAGCCAGCATACATGACTATAAAAAAAAAAAAAGTCATAACCGTCTATTTAAAATATATAATGCGTAAATTGATAAAAACTGAAATTACATGACTATAAAAAAAAATTTACAATAACAATTTTTACCTTTTCGTAGATATTTGTTGCAAAATAAAATTCTAACAGCCTTAAGTCTTTCAATGGGCAAAAAAATGAGTTGTTTTTTTTTTTTAACTAGGTTATGAAGTTCTCTGTCAGTCCTGTGGTACGTGTTGCTGTAGAGTCCAAAAACCCATCTGACCTGCCCAAGCTGGTTGAAGGTTTGAAACGTCTGGCAAAATCCGACCCTATGGTGCAGGTGAGTTTCTGCTCTCTCCCTCTTCTGTGTCAGTGTTTGTGTTTTTTCTTTTCTTTTTTTTTCTTTTCTTTTCTTTTTAAACAATTCTTTCTTTTCTCCTAGTGCACCATTGAGGAATCTGGAGAACATATTGTAGCTGGTGCTGGAGAGCTTCACTTGGAAATTTGCTTGAAGGATCTTGAAGAAGATCACGCTCAGATCCCAGTTAAGGTGTCTACTCCTGTGGTTTCTTATAGGGAATCTGTTAGAGAGGAATCTGACAGAACATGCTTGTCTAAATCGCCTAACAAGCATAACAGGCTTTACATGAAGGCTCGTCCTTTGCCAACTGGAGTTGCTGAAGCCATTGACAGTGTAAGTAATAAAATGAATTTTTAAAATTACTTTTTAATTGTAAAATGTAATTTAACAAAAAAAAAAAAAAATACCAAAATCTATTTGAATGTTATTTATTTATATATATATATATATATATATATATATATATATATATATATATATATATATTATAATGTTTCTAATTTGTATTAATATAACTGTTATAGGGTGAGATCACACCAAGACAGGATTTCAAGGAGCGTGCCAAGCTTTTGGGTGAAAAATACGATTTTGATGTCGGTGAGGCCAGGAAAATCTGGACCTTTGGCCCTGAAGGTACTGGCCCTAATCTGTTGGTTGATGTCACTAAGGGTGTGCAATACTTGAATGAAATCAAGGATAGTGTTGTTGCTGGATTCCAGTGGGCTACCAAAGAAGTAAGTTTGTTTGTGCTCCTCTTCTTTTTTTTTTTTTTTTTTTTTTTTTTTTTTTTTCTTTTCCTTCTCCTTACCCTGTTTTTTTTTTTTTTTTTTTTTTTTTTCCAACTATGCATTCACTTTCACTTTTTCTCTCCCCCCCAGAGTGTGCTGTGTGAAGAAAATATGAGAGGTGTCCGCTTTGATATCCATGATGTAACCTTGCATACTGATGCAATTCATCGTGGTGGTGGCCAGATCATCCCTACAGCAAGAAGATGCTTCTATGCCTGTATGCTGACAGCTTCACCATCCATTTTGGAGCCTGTCTACTTAGTTGAGATTGGTGTAAGTAAATATTTTTTTTTTTTTTTTCTTTACCCCTCCCTCTCTCTAATCTTACTTAATCCTTGTTTTTGTTTTAAAAAAAAAAAAAAAATTACTTTTTGCAGTGCCCAGACCAAGCTACAAGTGGTATTTACAGTGTCATGAATAAACGCCGTGGTCATGTTCTTGAAGCTAATGCTGTTGCTGGAACCCCCATGTTCCAGGTCAGAGCTCACTTGCCTGTCAATGAATCATTTGGTAAGTATGTGATGTGACCTGTAAACGTTTTCTTATATATATATATATATATATATATATATATATATATATATGTGTGTGTGTGTGTGTGGTGACCCAAAAAAAAACGAATTTTTGAAGTGCGTATTGCCAGACATGAGCAAGTGGCAACACTGCGAGACATTGACCTTGAGCAAGTAAACATTTTGCCATTTAGAATTCAAGATGACATTCACGGTATCCCAGCTGAGATGTTGCAGCAGTCAATGAGGAATCTCAACAGCAGATTTCAAGAATGCATTCGTACAAGAGGACACCATCTACAGGACGTAATTTTTAAAAAAATGAAAATTCCATCATTGTTTCTTGAATGGCATGGTTTAGGTTTCAATTACTATAAATAAAATATTTTTCTTCCATCACTCTCGGTTTTATTGGATTATTAAAATGTTCCCTTTTGGGGTGGGGGTGTTACCCTATATTATATTGTGTAACATTTAATGTTTTATTTTTCTCATTTACAGGCTTTACTGCTGACTTGCGTTCTAACACTGGTGGCCAGGCTTTCCCCCAGTGTGTATTTGATCACTGGCAAGAGCTTCCTGGAGACCCCTTTGATCCAACTTCCAAAACAGGTATGATTGTTACAGAGACAAGGAAACGCAAAGGCTTGACTGAAGGCATTCCACCATTGGATAAATTCTTTGACAAGTTATAAACTGGCATCAGATTAAGACTGGAACTAAAAGCATTGTTAATTTAAGTCTGCAAATATTTCTTGGTGGACCCAGACTTTGTTATGTACCTGCTTGAAGAAAAATAAAAATTTGCTTCAACATATTTTTTTTCTTTTTCTTATTGCTTAACTGTCTGCTGGAATTATTCAGCTATGGCTATCTTTTGATAATTGACAATGTTTACCATATTAAAGATTTTTTTTTTTTTTTTTACTATAAAGTGGAGGAAAGTCTTAAATTCAGGTTAAGAATTGTTTAAAACGCTATTTGCAATGTAGTTGTCATGAAAACTGAAATTTCTAATTTTGCAATTTGTGCAGTAGCATTAAACAATTTTCACTTAAGACTGGAATGGTTTCTTATATTTACTTAAATAGTAAGGGGGGGGAGCAAATTCTCCATTTTCCTAAAGATTTTAGTTTTTCTCAAGTATAGAAACTTACTTTTAAGCTAGTTTTCCCTTGAAATGCAATCTCTTAATTGGTATATTGTTACCTTTTTTTTATTTAATGATAAAAACACATCTACAATTTTTTTTTTTCTTTTTATTGAAGTTATTGACAGAACGAGGTACTGCTGAGTTTTTTTTTTTTTTGTTACAGTGGAGGAAAAACAGTGAAATACAAGATTAAGGGGGTAGATTTAACTGAAGCAGCAGCATTAAAAAAAAAGTGGGGGCCTTGGTTTTCCACATGTTTATGCAAAATCCCATTTTCTAAAGTCTATAGACTTTTTTTTTTTTTTTTTTTCCTTCCTCAAACTTGAGCACTGCATCAAAATGATTGCCTCCATGTGGAAATGTTTGAAGCATATGGTATAACTGTAATGCATCTACAATAGATGGTGTACTGGGTTCATGAATGTGAGCCAATATTTTAAGTTAGTGTTTTTCTGGCCTTTGCATATGTAGACCACCAGTGCTCAGTAATCCCTTGTATTCAAAATTAGCTTCACAATTTTTTTTCTTTCCGCTATTAATCAATTAAATCTTGTTTAGTTCTAGAAGTATTTAAATAGTAGGCACAGTAAAAAGTTATACCAGCATTTCTATATACGAACTTGTACATCTGCATTGTTTAATTTGTTCAAATTTATTCCCATTAATCCACGTGCATGCATACATACATACATACATACATACATACTCCCTAAGAAAAGCCAATTCAAAAGACACTATAGATCATCACTTTCTGAACTGTAATCTGGATCTTGATGCTGTTCTGACCAGTGAACAGTATCCTGAAGATTTTTCAGATCACTTTGGTGTTTGGAAGATGCTCCATAATTATCTGTAGCTTCACTGTTCATATTGTCATCCCAAATGGAGAGTTTCTCCATTTCACTGGGCAAAATACAAGAATTGTCCCAGCTAAGTTTAAATGGACGGCCATCTAGCCCATGACTGTGTTTATGTTGCCTAGTTAAATGCTCAGTAGGCAGTCTGTAACGTCTGTCAAAATCAGTACCACAACCCCTGTCTGACTTGTTCTGTCGAGCCAGTTTTTTCTCACATTGTTGTTTCTCAGCAACAAATTTAAGAGAATCAGCTTCATTGACTGTCAGTAATTGTTGTTCTTTTAAGAGGCGAGCTGAATGGTGGGAAACATTTCGGTGACGTGGAATAGGCACACGTTCCCCCTTGCGTTCAAGATTGACTCTGTCTTTCACTTTCATTTCGTGAATAGTATCACTCCCTTTACAGTAATGTTTACTTTTGGCAGATTTATTATTGCTTGTATCAGTCATCTCATGGCCATGTGAGGTCTGGTCATGAAATGTGAATTGCCTTGAGTAATAGTTCCTTGTGTTGGTGGCCATCTGAGAAGGAAGCCACAAGTTGGAGAGATTTGTCAGTTCCTTGTTCTTTTCATTCTTACAGGCTTCATCAGCAGCTGGCAAAATTGACGAGATAGAATAATGGTCAGTATGAGCATTTAAGTTAGAAATGCGTTGTTGGTATGAAAGAGAATTAGCCGAGGTAGTCGTAGGTGAGGAACAGTCAATGGTTACTTTCCGTGGGAAAGGCTGGACAGAAGTGCCACATGATCTAGCTTCATCTTGTAATTCACGATTGATGTAACGTCGCAACATTTTGGGAGAAAGGTCATCCACCTGAGGAACAATGAAAAATTTTGATGAAATTGTTAACACTGTAAAAAGTAACATTCTTAAACATTTTCATAGCTTAATAAACAACTCGTAAATTTTTCAATATGTGGTCTCAAGTAGTATTTTGTAAATTTTCCCGCTATGAAATACACTTTGATACTATCTAACAATAAAAATATGGGCATGTTTTTGGGAAAATGTGACCAGCAGCTTGAATGTGAGATACAAATCTTAGTAAATAAGGTCAACTGATTGGGTCGCTTAATACTGAAATTAATTTGTTTTTTAAGTCTTTAAACTATCCAACTTATTTTAAATAGTGAGACTACTGTTTATATATATATATATATATATATATATATATATATTAAATCTGTTTAATTTCTCTTAACTGGAATATGTAAAGTGAATCTGGTCTCCATCATTTGTTATAGTCAGCTGGCTAGCTTTCAACCTTCTTTTTGTGACCAAAGTAGGTGTGAATGAAAATAGTACAAGAATTGTGAATAATGATATTTTTATTGTATTTGCTTGACTGTAGATAGCTTAAATGCTGATTGTGACGAGACTTATTCTAATTTAATGTAAATTAACTTTTCAGTATTAATGATTTTGTAATGATTATTTTAAGTAAATACTTTTTCAAATCAATTACCCTTAACACTTCTAAAAATAAAACTGGAAATATTTACACTTCTTTAAAGACAAAATTCTTGGTGTCAAGTCATTTGAAATTTTATTAAATACTGCAAGTTCTTGTAGAAATATATGCCTTTTAATTATAACTAAAACATTACTGTAGAAATTTTTTTTTTTTTTTTTTTTTTTTTTTTGGTTGTGATGGACATGGTTGAAGATAGGTCATACCTTGACAAGTTCCCCTGTCTGCTCTAGAAAGTATAATGGAGATAGTTAAGAAAAGTGGATGCAATGATATGAGCATATGTACATATTTATACAAGGATGAACTATACCAATGTTGGTCAACCCAATATAGGTGAAGATGAATAAATGGAGTCTAATGCTGAAAAGGATTGAACGTAAGGCCTAATTCTGGTTTGGTACTTTTCATATAATCATGTTTTGTTTGGTAACAGGAATTTTGAAGGAATTATTCAGTGTCTCCAATTTTGAGTCATTTTTATTTCATTTCTTTTTATGTGAGAAAAGGTTTTGCTGAAATAGTTAAGTAGAATGAAGGAAAACAAAATTTTGAGAAAAGTTTACTTTAAAAAAAAAAAAAAACAAATAAAAGTAAAAAGGTTGTACACATTCTGGACCTAAAAAAAAAAAATATCTAAATGAGTTTAGCATAGCCTCAGATAATTTTAAAGCAGCAGTTCTTGCTTGTGAAAAAGAATAAAATGTCATACTGCTTCATTATACAAACAATAACTAAATCCTTAGACATTGACCATAAAATCCAAGATATAAGCACATATTATCTGCATGGTCCACTGTCTAATAAATGGAATGATCCACATGTCTAACCTTAATACAGAAAATTAACAAATGTTAAATCTATAATTTAGTATAGAAAATTTTAAAGTGGGAGGGAGTGAAGTTCAGGCATTAGATACAAAATACTGTGAGAAGAGTTCAACAATTCCAATATTTTATTTTATTTTTATTTATTTTTTTTAAATTTAACACTCGTATAGCAATATTTGAAATATCTTTGCGCCATGTCCCTTCAGGACATAGGTGGCCATGACCCTCCACATTTTCTTGTTCCTTGTAGCTCTTAATAAATTGTCTTTTTGCTATTTCTACCATTTATGTATGTTACACACTGCTTTCCTCTGTTCTGTATCAGATCTTCCAAGCCCTCCTTCCTCAGGACATGTCCCAGAAACTGCAACTGCCTTTTCTTGATGTTAAGTATGTTTCCTTTTAGTTTCTGTATCCTCTAAAACCTTGTTGTTGCTCACCTGTTTGGGTCCATGGTATCCACAGCATCATTCTGTAGAACCACATTTCTGTTGCTGCAAGTCTCTTCTTCCTCTTTGAAAAGATTGTCCAGCATTCATATGGAAGGACAGATATTACATAACAGTTTACTCTTTGTTTCTAACAATGCTTTTCTGTCTCTTAATACTCTGCTTAGCTTTAGGAATGCATATTTGGCCATCTCAGTGTCTCTTCTGTTAGAACACTTCCCAGATATTTAAATATTGCACTTTTTTGATTTTAGTATCCCCAATTTGTATTTTGGGCTCATCCTTTTGCTAACAACCATACATTGTCTTCTTGTAGTTTATATTTAGTCCTTTCTTCATGTTTTCCTTTTCTATATTCTGTTGGAGCTTTTGTAGTTTTGTTTCTGTGTTTGGTATCAACACTGTCACCTACATATGCTGTTAAGACCATGGCCACAAACAAAAAATCCCAGTAGGAACTCTAATTCTCTTAATTGCTTCACTGTATAGACTAAACAAGTCCAGTGAGAAGACACATCCTTGTCTTACACCCCTTTCGCTTTTTGCTGAACTCATTTTCTATCCATGTGCAGGCAGTTTACTGCCAGTATAGGTTCTTGCTTATTCTAATCTTTATGGCATACTTTATCAAATGCCTTTGCATAATCTATAAAGCACAGGTACACCTCCTTCTGCATTTGTATTGTTCTTTCTGATAACATTCTGAGCATGAAGATTATGTTCCTTATTCCAGTATTTTTTATGAACCTGCACTGTACTTATTCTATCTCCAGTTTGAATCTTCTGCATACTCCATTCATCTGAATTTGGACGATGAGTTTTGTTATAAGGGTCATTTAATTTTCATAAAAACAATGGCAAATACTTATAAGCTACAACTGAGTTGTGTTGGTTTTTTTTTTTATTTAAAAATAAATCTAGGTTACATTAATGTCTATTTGTTCCACTTTCAACTCCTGTGCCAGTTGTTGATCAATCTGGATACTAGACAGAATAGAGGTTTATATTCTACCCACTATGTTCCAAAATATAAGAAGATAAAGAGGAGACATTAAAAATGACCAACCATAAAGATACCAACATTTCAAAAATAAAATGAAATTTAACCCATTTTTTAAACTCTGAAGATTTATAACTTCAATAAGTCCATTCAGAGGAGGTTATTAACAATTGAACATCAATTATAAAGAGTGGTACATTTTTGATATTTTGAATTCTTACTTACTATTAGATTGTAAATTTTGAAAGAACAATGTATTAAAAACTGTACAAAAGTAACCACACTACCTTTTGTCAGTTCATAGTTATTATTATGCATTTAGTAAGCTCTTCCTCACTATAGTTTTTGGAAAATATATTGAGCTCTGCTAATGTGTTAGTATTATGAGGATATTTTAGAAATATGATCTTGTTCCATTGTAAATTTGCTTGTAGAATTAATTTAAATCCATTTCTGATGAAAAGAGATGACTACATTCTTTCCTCTCAATGTCAAATTTTGATAATATTTTCTGTTTTTTTTTTCTTTAGCAAAGTCAAAGTACGTACTTCATGCTCAATATAAAATGGCTGGCTGGCTACAGGTTCATCGGCAGGACAGCAATAAGCCTTTAGATATGAATGTTGAAGTGCTTCTTCTGCAGTAATACGCTGCTTAGAATTAAATGTCAGCATTTTTTCAACCAAATTCATTACTGTGAAGTAGAAATAGATAACATTCACTGAAACATTCTCTACATATAGCTTTAAAAAATATGTATAAAAAATACAAACACTTGCCTCCATTCATTTTTAGCCTTTCAAATATATACACATTAGAACTATAGTCCAGTACAAAATGCTATCATATGATAGCTTATTCCATCAGTCCTTTGGGTGAAACAGAGAGCTTAAATTTAGTTCTAGATAAAAATGAAAAAAAAAAATTAACAAAATAATTTAATTTTCATGTTCATTATGACATTATTGTAAAATTTATTACATGAATCAAGTCAAGTTACTCTGAATTATGTTTCCTATTTTCTTTCTAATAAACAAATTAAAGTAATACAGATTTAAATATTTAAGTCAGTCATTACCAGTGAGATCAATATTTGGGAATCGATCTTTAAGTAGTTTTTCAGGGTTCCTGGGAATTCTTTTCATAACACTCTTTGGCAATACTTGAGTAACACTGTTCCAGTCATTGTCACTGATTGGAAGTGTATGAAGCAGCAAACTGATTTGTTCCATTTCGTGTGAGCCAGGAAATAGAGGCCGTCCAATTAACATTTCCATCAAAATACAACCAGCACTCCAAATATCAATTGCTTTAGTGTAATCATTTGGGGAAATTATCAACTCAGGTGATCGATACCAGCAGGTTCCAACTTGGTCGGTAAGGAAACCCTAAGAGAAAAAATTATTTAAAATGGTAAAAAGTATTATGAAAAATTAGAATAAAAAAGGAAGTGTTTATTCAAACAAGAAAACAAGGCTGAAACTTGTTTTCCTTGACAAGATAACAAGGCACCAAGATGATGCATTAACAAAATGTAATTTTTCTACATAAATATCAAATAGTGGCAACTTGATTACAGTCTATAACTATTCAATCACTTCTTTCAAGAGTATCAGCATCATCTCATAAAAACCTTATGAAGAAACTAATAATAATTTGTTGTCTTTTCTAAAACATTTCTGTTTTTTGTCATTTCTAATTAATTTGACATATAGAATTCACATCTCATATCTAGAAGTAAATGCACAACAGTTTTCAACTATCAAACCAAGTATTAGAATGTTTAAACAATGTTGTATAATCAAATAAAAGAAATCAACATTTATGAAGAGTTGGTAAAAAGTCCTCAGCCTATTCTGTGCATAATCAAATTTTGGGGTGTGGGTTGCACTCAGAACATTCCAGCACCTCTTTTATATACACCTAAAAAGGTTCTAAAGGTATTAAGTGCATCAGTGTTTGACTTTTCAGTCAAAATCATATGAATACTTTATCCATCCTATTATAAATTAATTTCCTTACAGCCTCCATTGTTCAGCCTTTTAATTGCTTTGGCCTGGGTAAAGAAAGGACAACAATCTCCAGTTTATGAATATCAGTCGCCAAATAAAACAAAGACATTAACATCAGGATAGAATGCAAAAGAAGTTTTTTACTTTCTTCATAGACATAAGTACATATAACACAATTAGTCATTGTGGTAAAAATCTTGCAACTTCCATTCCAGCTTATTTTTTAGGATTTTCTCATCAGTTTACAAACACAACATTGATACATCAGAAAAAGCAAGTGAGGACAATTCAGCAGAAGTTCTACCAAACAAGTTTCTTAAGAGTCAAACAATTCATTACAAAGAGATCATCTTACTTGGAAACTATTGTACAGTTAAGAGAAAGATTCAAATACAAGTAAGAGAAAGTTATTAGCACAAAACAAAATGCTTATTACAATTATAAATAAAAATTAGATCATGAGTACATTGTGTTTATACGAGTAAATTAACTGACAGATTTAGAATATAGGATGATCAATAACTACATAACATGGAAAGTATAAGTACCAATTCTAGAAAAATGGTAAAACTGCAGTCTCGTATTCATAGACTATTACCAATAGCAAAAAATTGGTATATCATATTTCTTTAAATAAAAAAAAACTCTTACCTTATGAGTATAGTCCGAATCCACAACCCTTGCAAGTCCAAAATCACCAATCTTCAATACAAGGTCATCAAGATTAATAAGCAAGTTGCTAGGTTTGAGATCTCGATGCAGTACATTGGCAGAGTGAATGTATTTGAGGCCTCTCAACAATTGATAAAGCAAGAAACGAATATGTTCATCCCCCAGTGGTTGTCCCTCATCAAATAACAACTGTTGCAAATCAGTGTCCAACAACTCTTGAACAATATAGACAGAATTTAGCTCACAGAGTGAACCCATCATATTATCTGTGGCACTGCATACCCCAGGCCCTAAAACTTCATACACAGCCACAATGTTTTCATGGTGAAGCCGGCGCATAATACGTAGTTCCCGAAATGCATACTTGCAGCTTCTTTTATCTGAGAAACAAATTTTCTTGATAGCCACTTCCTTCTCACACTCACTGTCAACTGCTGAGTAGACAATACCATTGCCCCCAATTCCAATTGGTTTCAGGTTAATGAATCGGGAATCTGCCTTGAAGTCACGATCTTCAAGAGAGCATTGCTGCAGGTCTTTCTTCCCAGGATGGGCCATCTTACTGACCAATGCTCTCTTTATGTAAAAATCAATTAAAAAAAAATGTTTACAATTAAAACTTTAGAATTATATAGAAAAAATATTTATATGAATTTTAGCATAATTAAGAGAATTATATACATTTGGTAAAGCCAATTCAGATGAAAAAGCAATTGTATTTTACAACTACAAGATGTACTTGTAAAATATTTATAACTAAACTAATATTATTATTTTTTCAAAAGCCAATTAAAAAATAAGTAAATGAAATATAAAAAAAGATATTGTTAGTTGTATTTTAGGTTAATGCAAAACTATATAGCAATCAAACAGAAGTATCGAAGTACATCAGTTTTCCACTCTTGATTTTAAGATTTAAATTATTTCAAATAAAGAATTTCAGTATAAAATTTCAATTTGTAGGTTTTATTATTACTTACAGTAAATGTTTATATAAATTTCATGGCATATTACAAAAGATGCAAGTTAGGAAATTTTTCTAGTTACAAAATAAATGTAACTGTACATCTGATAAATAAAATTATTTTCTTACTTTTCAACTTACATATTGGCACTTCTTCTTGGCCTATCATACTGGTATACCATGTTGCCACATAACTTTAGTAATAACACTTTCCCTGGCTTCTAATCAACATGACAATGTCAGGTAATAAAAGTGAAAACATTTGCTGCCCACTATCACTCCTCAAGCTGTGATTATTTTCAGCTCAAATAAATTAAACATTTCTGGCAAATGGAAGAAAAAAAATCCAATGATCAAATGGTAAATTTTGCAATTTTTTAACTAAGATTTGCTTTGACAGTTTTCAACACTTAATCTGTACAACGGTCAGGAATTAAGGCAAACATTACTAGCAGAATATATGTATGATGGCACTCTTTTTTGCTATTATCACCAATAGAATAAACGATGCATAATGTAAACAAAGAGGTAAAATTTATGTTGGGATTTTGAGATAACGAATTATCATTATTTTATGCTTTTCTATTCAGACCAAAGGTACTTCATCTAGAAGATTAAAGAATTAGTTAAAGCATGTCTGGTTTCCTGGCAATCATGAGTTCAATTTCTGGACCAGGCAGTGCTGAAAAGTCAGAGTATGGTTCAGTAGAAATGGAGAAGCAAATCAACTAGAGCGTATTAACCGATACAAGATACCTTCTTAAGTATGGAAAACATGGATAATCAACCCTCATTGATTAAATAAAAAGTTCAGTTCAAAATCCAAAGAAGTTTACCAAGTATGACAGACAAGCAAAGAATGCTGGAAAGTACAGCAGTTAAAAAGTCATGAGAATAACAATCAAGATTATCATGCTGCTTCAAATAGAAAGGCTAGTCATTTAATGAAAAGTTATTTTCATTTGTTTGTATTTTTTTTTAAATCTCTGCTAACAGGGAATGGAGTAAACAACATTTCTAGAATTAATGATATTTTTACTAATAAAATGAGATCTTGGAAGATTCCAGCAACAAATATGTCTATCTACAAAGAGAATAAAAGATAAACAAAACTTTTTTTTGGGGGGGGGGGGGTAATTTCTTATTTATATAGACTATCAACCCCATCATTGTTTTTATTACATTTCCACAACAAGAGGAAGGCTTGTAAATAAAGGGATCATCTGATGCCTTCAACAGTGTTCAAAAATCATAAGTGGCATCCCAGACACATGCTAACAGCAAATGATCAGTATCAAACATACCCATTAGAATAACAACTACCCTGCAAACATAACATCATCTTTTCCAAACAGAAACAGAAGGGTCAAGGAGGAGGACCAAAAAAACAGCCATGGTTTGTCTTCCTTATGTCAAACGCTTACCAGATAATATTCACAAGCAGCTCTATCCTATGGACAAATCTCTGATGAGCCAAGCCTAAGACAGGAGGACATGGCCAAGAACTGTGAGTACTCTATTCCTTGCAGTTGTGGTAAATACAAATGTGAAATTAGCTGCTCCCAAAAAGTAAGGCTGGAGGAACATTGAAAAGCTGTAATTTGGGATGAGACAATGAAATCAGAAATGGAGGGATAAGCCTGTGGAATGAATTAAAAATACTGGACAGAGATGAACACTAGAGAGTTAGACATCTGCATATGCTAAGCTATGAGGACCTCTTTAGTAGGCCTAGCATAGAAATAAATATATGGGAGCCATTAATGAATAAAGAAAGAGATATGACAGCAAGGCTTCAACAGTAGCTGCACTAAAGTGTGAGTGAAGCCTCAGTGAGTGCAGTCAAGCATGACAAGTAGGAGCAGCACTCATCAGCAGTTAGTTTAGCTTAAAGACTTCAAGAATTATCACAGCAGATCAAAGTGTTGGTTCATGAATTTGATGCTATAACAATTAAAGGTTCAATTGCACGTGTAAATAATAACTCCTCATCCCAGAAATTCAGACAAAAGACAGAAAAAATTTCTTGTTAGTTCCTTTTAATGCCAGTATACCACAACCAATTCATTTTTATAACTGTAATTTGTTATATGAATTCAACTGAGTAATTAATATAGCAGCATATTGTTCTTGTGTTGTAACTAAATTGCATATTTATTGGAGGATGGAAGAAGAAAAAAAAATCATCTATTATGTAAATAACAGCAGTGACGAAATTAAAAAAAAAAGAGTGAAAATATTATTTCCAAATAGTTCAGCTAAAGACATAGAAATAGCTATAAAACCTTGTTAAAAATATTTTGTAATGTAAAAGACTTTAAGGAAGTTATTCTGTTTTAAAGAGGATTAAAGAATTATTTTGTCTTGTTACTTTGAATAGGAATTGTTTTAAAAAAACTGACTCCTTAATGATCATTATTTTTAGCTTTCAGATTCCATCCCACTAAATATTACAAAATGTTATTAAAAATAGGATCTGAAATGTCCTTTGATTTTTTTTTTAATTAGTTCAGTGTCTGTTGAAACATCTGGTTATAAATTACAATATACTTTAAGGATTGCTTTTAAGGAAAATAATTTTATTTCTTACTCAAAATCTTTAGAGAACTGAAAGCATAAAGGAATGCACAAATATTTTCCAAAGTATGTTTTTAAAAGTCCCTTATCAGTTCTATAGAAAAATCACCCCTTTAGCAATATGGTAGATTATAAGGATAAAATTACAATACCAACAATAAAAGTGACTTGTTCATTGATACATTTTTTAATCACACAGATTTCAAGGAAAACTTGCTGACACCTGTCACAAATAATTTAGATCTCTCAAACTTTTGTGATTTGAGATGAGATAGATGTTAGTAGACACATTTATCTTCTTTTGCCTCTTGCATTATCCTTGATAAAGTTCATAAAAGTTTTGTTAAAAGTCAATAGAATTTATACACATTTTTATTAACATAAGTGTTTTATTGAAATTTCAACAATTATGCATCTTATTGCTCTGCTTGTAATTAGAGTAGTTTTTGAAGTTTTAACATTTTACAGAGTGTAGGTGGACTAATGGAATCAGTGAAAAATGGAGTCAATGAGCCAAGTTCAAATTCCAACTGAGTTTGTTTACTTCACACTAATACCCTTGCAAATGATATGAATACATTCACCCCACCCCCAAAGTTATGGGATAAATAGCAAGGCAAACTGGCATATCTAACCTTGGTTGGCAACCAGTCTAAGAAAAGGAAAACTGAATTCAAAACTACACAGAAAGTAACAGAAATGACTGCACTATATTTCCAAAGAACAGTTGTAAAATGCAAAGTTTATAGATATTAAAATGAAAGAAAAACTGAGCCATGATTGTTTATGTTCTTAATGGACATAGCACTAAAGAGATTTTTTTTTTTTTTTTTTTATAAAAAAAAAAAAAAAAAGCATATATTTTTTAAGGTTTGGATGCATTTTATTTGATTTGTCTATTACTAGTAAAAATTAAGAGGTGAGTCAAGACAGTTTTGATTTGTTTTTAAAATATAAAGGTAAACAGATAGAAATTTTAAAAAATTTAAAAAGACATCACAATGATTTTTTTTTTAAGTATTCTATTCACATTTTGTATACTATATTTATTTCTCATAATTCAATGATATAATAATAATTAGTACAATTATAAACTGAACATATTTTTGTCTTTGATAAAATTTGATTTTGAATTTATGCAGTGATTTATATTATTTAAAATACTGTTCATTTTTTTATATTGATTTTATTTTTAATATTTCAGGTCTGGTAACTAAAATTAAAATCTGGCAATTTTTTCATTTCATGAAAAAAATAAAAAACAGTGAACAATGATGACATGTAAAAGTTGATGATTGAAAAAAAAAAATGAACTCAAAAGAGCAAAAAAAAATATGTATTGGCAACCTGTACTTATTCTCAATAGGGCACTTTTTAGTACAGAGTATTTATTTTAACTGCACAGCAGAATTTTTTATCGGCTCTGAAATCTCTGTCGACATCTCTTACGGACAAAATCTTGCAATTTTGAAGCCAATGTTAAAAAACAATTTTTTAAAAAGGTATTGAGTTCTTTTTTAACGTTAATTATAAAGAAAGAGGTTAAATTAAATAACATTTTTAAAATAAATTGTCTGTGTTATACCGGGCCAAAGTTATGACAAATTAATTAAAAATAAAATATTTTCTGGTAAAAATTCAGGTTAAAAAAAACTAACAAAAAGAACCGAACGTTTTAAATTTTGCTTACTTTTTTTTTTCCTTTTTTTTTTTTTTTTTTTAAGGTTTTCTTCAACAACTGATTTTTGAAGGCGGAAAACAACAGTAACAATAACATTCTTTGATACTTTTTTTTTGCTATATATTTCGAGATTATAACAGTAGTAACAAGTGACAATCTACACAAAATGGAATTTTCATTATTTAAAAAAGAAAACAACCTTAATAATAACAAAATAAAGGTATTGTTTCTTTTTTGTTTTGTTTTACAAAAATTTTTGCAAGCATAAATGAATGAATAATCTACTTGAGGGTCTTAAATAAAAATGCGTAGATACTTGTACTTTTATTTATTAATTATGTGTGTGTGTAATTAGAAAATTATAAAAAAAAAACAAAAAAAACCTCATGACAGAACATTTTAGTGTTTTTTTGTTTTTTTTTAATGTACTGGAAAGAGTACTTACAAAATTCTTTGTAGAAAGACCATTTATTTAATAATCTGTTGTAAAAATATTTGGGGGTCAATTTATCTATAGAGCGAAACTTTACATTACATTTACAATGAATAATGTAGGATCGCAAAATTCTATTGCAGTCACTGGCTATCTGTAGAGGAGGGGGATATTTTTTTATGTAGGAGGAATATCAAGAGACAATTTCACGGTCAAAACATGTCACCTTTAAGAACTGGTTGAGGGTTCTGAGTAGTAAATTTATCTTTCCCAAGTTTAAGAACTGTCACAAACTAGTTAGTTAAATTAAATATAAAAAGAAAATTAATCTTAAGAATACATGAATATTTTTCAAATGTTATTTTCTGGGAAGAATTATAAAAATTTAACATGCAACGGAGACACTCGATTCAAGTGTCACTTTGATGGAAAAATGATTGCACTGCTAATACACGAGTTAACATGCAGTTTTCTGTTTCAATACAAGCTCGTAAGCACGTAAACATGGTTATTTTGATAACTTAAATTGTTGTTAGCGCCTAAGAGATTATCTACGCTGAATAATAGAGCTCCTCCAAAATAAACTGTAGATTTACAGACAATGTTTCAAACAGCATAAAAACAAACATTAGCAAAAGGAAGATGAGCAATGGACGGCGAGGCTTTGGCTTTACCAAGCAGAAGGCACAAAAACCTGAAACATTTTAAAATGGTTAACAACAATAAAAATGGATTATTCCTGAGAATGTATATTTTATTGGTTTTCAGTCAGTTTGTGTCGTGTGTATCACTAGTGTTACAAGCCATTAGCTGAATTAGAATAATAAAATGCAAAAATAAGCAAGTTGAGTTGCTTACCGTAATAATACTTACTGTCTTGTGACAGGGACCTCTAAGCAGGAAATGCATGTATACTCACGAACCAGTTATATACATTCACTCTTAAAAAAAAAGTTATTTAGATTTGCAGCAAAAACATAATTTTTATTTAAATTATTTAAGTAAAATGTTGAAAATTTATCATATATTAAAAAGTAAAGTCAATAATAGTAATAACTTTGGTTTCGAAGCTTTATGCCAACTTCCGTTTTAGTAGCAGTAACGAAGTTTTAGTCAGTGTTTTCCGTAGGCTACAGATTTATCAGAAAATATAAATTGTAAGCAGCATGTATTTGTAATGTATTTTGATCGATATTATTTCTTAGTAATCATTATATATATATATATATATAATCAGAATGATATAGTTGCGTACTAGTATGATTCTTCTTCTTATCATTTCTCACCGATTTATCATTTGATTTACGTAAAAAACATTACGAACAAGTACAGCATCTTAAAACATTATTATTTTATTAAGATTCGTTTGAACTAAAACTGCTAAAAGTGTGTAATTTTATCGAAAAAAAATATTTTTCTGGTAACGTTCTACTATCTATGAAAATGACCATTTCTTTCGGAAATTATCCATTTTCTCGAAAACTTAAATTAAATATTTTTTTATTTTTACTAATAAAAAAAAAATCGATATCCAAGATAGGTTCCATTTCAAGTTTTGAAATTCATAAAACGTTATATTCTGATAACAACTGCTTCGTAAGGATATATTTTCCCGCAAATTTTTACCCAAGTGAACTATATCCTAAATTAATATTCTTCTTAAGATCTTACCTGGTGGTTCTACAAAGATTTTGATTTGACATACAAGGTCAAGGTATTCTAATTAATTATTTTATTATTTTTTTGCTGCTGTATTTTAGAATTATAATTTCATTTAAATTTAGTTTTAAAAAGCAAAAACTAAGGATTCAATTTTTGTTTTCTAAACTATAAATTATGCTAAAATTTATGCAAATTTAAATTGTTCAATGTTTTTGTTCACATATTTCAAAATTATTTTTTTTAAAACATGAACATTTTCCTCATCAATGTTACAAGTTACTCTCTGTTGCCAAAAATCTTTCACTCATTACAGATTTTTTCAAATGCAACTTTCAACTGCAATCCTTAATTTAATTAAAAAATCCGACCAAAAAACTTACACCCATTGGAGACTACTTTCTTACGATGATTTCAGGGCCACACGTATTTGGATGCTGCAAGATTACAATTAAATAAAACGAGAAAGCAAATACATTTTCTTGACTTTCTAGTTTGATCTTTACAAACTACAATTTAAAATAATTGAAAAATTAAAAAAAAAAAAAACACAACCTTATAACATGATCTCATCTTTTTCATCAAAAACTTAAATGCTTAAGTCAAAAATTCCATTTGAAAAAACAAGAGAGATATTCGTTTCCAATAAAATAAAATAAATTAGAAGAATTCCATATTGTGCTATTTTTTAAACAATTTAAATATTGTTCTGTTTGTACGAACACTCGAATACAATGTTTTGCTTGCTGTATACTCCAACCATTTTCAGGTCAACTTCTGCAACTTTCAAACCGAACTATTTATACAATCTGACAATGGTAGAGTCGATGAAAGCGTTGCTTAAGTCAATTGCATCTAATTTGGTGCCTGTGAGTCCAATCCACGGATTAAGCAGTGAAAGTTATGTACTCTAGTTCAGTGAAAAGTAGCGTTATAGCAAGAACAAACTAACTGAAATGAGATCTGTCCCCTAGCACAGATAGTAAAATTTACCTCAAATGAACAGGGTATGACGACAACCAAAATATTGTGACTATAACAATCATGTTCAAACTTATGAAAGTCTGAATTTTGTAAATGAACTTGTCATTTACTAATAATGGACCTACCTAAAAGCAATGGTGCTTTCACCCCTTAAAAAATACTTCCTTGGTTCCAACATCCCTTACACTTTTCAAAACCGTCTGCAAGGTCCTTTTTCAGGATCACTATCAACTACCTCATCACATTTTTGCAAGGCAATTTTAGCTTTGATAAACCCAGAATTTGCTGAAGTCAAATCTGAATGTGTGTGAGCAAGGAACTGAAAGATATGGTCATGCAATATTTTGGTAAAAATAGAATGAATAAAACCTAAACAGGATGTAATCATAGTGAATGTGATGATCAAATTCATCACACTCATTTAATGGAATCTCATTGAAGCCTGAGTAAGTATTCACACATATTACATCAGGTCCCCACCAGTTGGTTGCCAAGTTAATATCAAGGCTGCACAACCAATTCTTGAGGTATTCAAAATGTCCACACAGACCATGTATATTTAAAATACAAAAAAAATTTATCAGCTTTGTTCTCAGCTGAACAGTCACATCAATTGACAGGCTAAATTGATCAAAGAGTATGAAACTCAATTCAGCAAATTGCATCTCCAAAGATTTGATCCAGGATTTCCATTATTCAATCTGGGTTTGATAACACCAATTTTGCACTATGTATGTCCTTATGCTTCTGAGTGGTACACCTTGCTTGCAATTGAGCATGAGCAGTGAATCAACTAGCAACATAAAATTGCTTCTCATTAATTTGGACCTTGACAATGCCAAACTTACATTCTGCCTGGAGAAGAGGCTAGCACTGATGTCTTCCCATGATTTGTTTCTCAGACAGCCACATGAGATGTGACCCAGTTCACTAAAACAAAAGCATCATAAATCGTTTCATGGTCTGTATTAATGACCCCTGGATAACACTTCTTGCTCTTGCCACATGGTTCATCCTATTACATATGTTGTGTTGATCCATGGGAGGAGAGCCTGTTGATTCACCTTGCATTATCCATACCCTGACCAGCAGCTGGTTAATGGTCAGTGCATCCATCCTGCAATGGATTGCTTGTATGCTGCAATTGCAAAAGAATTGACCAGTGCAATTTTTGCAAGAAGCAGCACCACTATGTCTCACACTGCAAATAGAGATACTTTTGGGAGTTTGATTTGATGAATTGATCAAATAGCATGGCATGTTAATTGATGTGACTCTGGTCAAATCAGATTAGAAAGAAATGCCAATAGAAGAAAAGAAAGAAAAAAAAAGTTAATCTAAGTAAAAACTTCTAGTTATTCATTAACTGGAATGCTTTCTCAAACATTTAAATAGCTTCAAGTTTGCACTTTAAAGAGATCAAAACCATATTAGCAGATGACTTAAGACATATCTTGCATGGAAACAAAAAGGACACATATTTAGAATCAGAAAGAGACAGTTGAAATTTCTGGGACACATGAGGAAAGAGGACTTGGAAAATTTGACACTCACAGGACATTGAAGACAAATAACTGAGTAACCTACCTCATAACCTTGTGTAGATGAATAGGAGGGATAGTAAAACAATAAATTACTAAGAGCTACAAAGGATAGGAAGTTGTGAGGACCATGATCACCCATATCCTGAAGTGACAACATAAAAGAAGCATGCATAACTTTTGTAATGAAATCATGAATCAAAAAGTACACCTGTAAATTCTGTAAGAAACAAAAAACAGAATTTTCACATAAATAAACTAAGAGAAAACAATCAAAAGCTAACATACAATCAGTTACTGTCAGTAAAAATTCATCTTCCATATTACTACTTATTTTGCATATACACATGTGCAAAATACAAAACGGTTTGTTTTTATTGCAGGAGCAAGGTTTCCTAGTTGATGGAACACATGCAATGCATGTTAAGATGCAAAATAAGCAATAGAGGTATATACATATACATTATCATGTGATCAGTAAGCTTTTGATACTATTTTGAACATTTTATGGCAGTATATAGGTTCTTGGTTTCCTTCAATCTAAACTTGATTAGAGAGAAACTCATAATTTTAGTTAAAATTAGTATTCTCTGAACTTTATTTATAAATCAAGGATCATTACAATTGTTTGTTGCCAGACAGTATAAATGATTATCTGATTTAACTGTTCCACAAACAATATTTTCAACCTCTAGTGAGTCAAGGTAAATAATGATACAAAGACGTAAAGAAATGGCCATCAAGAAGTCTGATAGTACAAATGGATTCAAAAAAAATATATTAACAAAACATGTTTGTAGAATCATTATTCTACTGTGTTGTTGGCATTGCAATAGAAGAATGAAAGGAACTTCATTTGAAGTTTTTAAATGTTTGTAGAAAATCCATAGTTCAAGTCTAGGAATTGATAAAGAAATTATTGGAATATATTTTAGTGTAAATTATTTTTACATAGTAGATCAATCTTTTGATGTGTAAAGTTCTTCTGATCAAATAGAAGATATTTAGAAATACCTATGCATTTGATCAATTATTGAATATACAATAAGAAAAATTGAAATTTCCATAATTAAAAAAAAAAAAAAAATTTTTAAACACCTGAATTGGAACTGGGAAAAAATGCAAGGACAATGAAGTTGAATAAAATGCTTAATTCTCTAGGTAGACAAAAATCAGACATGCAATTTGGAAGACTAAATTATTGAAATCTTATCTTAATTTGATAACGGCCTGGGTTTTGCTCAACAGACATGGGAAATAAGAATAATCATGGACTGTTTGAAAAGAAACTCCTGATGAAATAATTGACAAAATGGTTAAGTTTTTTTTTTTCAAATTAATTGCAATTCAAATTTGGAAATTTGTTTTCTTTTAATAAAGTTTTTGAAAGATATTTATTAGTTTCATATATTTTCTAACTTTCCATTTTGTAATAACAGATCATCCATATATTTTTCTGCCATTCTACTATAGATTGCATTCAACTTACACCTTAAAAAAGAGGAGACATGAAAGAAAAGACAAACACTTATAATAAGAATATATACATTTATTATGAAAAGGAAAATGTAATGTAATGGTTAGTAACGTTTCCTCTTGAGAATGTCTGGTCTCCAATTGATTGGATGAGTATCTTCTGATGCTGTGTCATCTTCTTTATAAATCTTAATAGTTTTATCAGCCTCTCCAGTAATTAGCCTGCTACCACTGAGATCAAATGTGCAAGCAAAGATACCAGCCTCAGAATCAATTGATCCAGGTTGAACAGCAGCTTGGATTCTTTGAAAATTATAACCAGTTTTCCAATCCCAAAAGTACATAGTACCATTATCAGCACCAGAAACAAGGACACTATCAGAATTCATGGCTAAAGTATTGATAATAGCATTGTGCCCAGTTAAGTTTTGGATAAAGTTACCATCTGGAAATTTCCACTGTTTGATGTTGTCTGGTGATCCTGATGCAAAAGAATATTGAGAAGGATGAAGAACAAGAGAACGCACACTTTTTTTGTGGTTAGTAAGAGTAGCACGTGTTCGTCCAGCAGCTAGATCCCACAGGCGTATAGTGCAATCGTGGCTACCAGTTATAACCTGAAAGAAAAGAAACAAAACTGGAAAATGACAAGTTTAAAAAAACAAAAAAAAAGATTAAAAAATCTCAAGATGTCAGCATCAATTAAGCCAAAATGTCGACAATTTAACTGATGATTAGATTGTAAAAGAAGAAAAAAATTCATTTAGTCACTTTTAGTATACAACTGAATATTGAGCAACATATATGCAATCAGAATGAGGAAAACATGGTCAGCTAAAATATCTTGGTTTTCATAGATTGATTCAAACTCATTTACCTTCCCTCATATTGTAGGAAATTATTTAAGTGTTTATATTTATTATATAACATGCCATGTAACAATACTTAATTCAGTGGTCATAAGGAAAAGCAGTGTAGATCAGTGTTTCTCAGCATTTTTTTTTTCTTCAGGACGCCCTTGTATAATAACTAAAACTCTGGGGTGCTCTTTAGTTGTAATAAGGAAAAATTAATCATGAAATTTGAAAATAGGAAAATAATAAAGAAGTCTCATTTATTTTTAAGACATTATATTGTATATTTAAGCATGCCTGTATGAAACCTGTGCCTGAAGTGCAAGATTTTCTAAATATAATTCATAAATTATTCTTCTGTTAACTCGCGGTGCACCTGGCTACCTCTCAGTGTGTATTAGTGTGCCTGCATGCATTAGTCGAGAAATAGTGTAGATTAATTATACAGCCATCATTTGCATTAAAATAGCCAATTTTATTGATGAATTCAATCCCATAAGTAATCTATCCACTTACATGTTTAGATATAGACATACATTAAAAAATATATAAATCTCTTGAAAAGAGTTAAGTGTAGAATCTAATATTTAATCATTTCAAAACAGACAATTATTTTTTTTAAACTTTCCATGTTAAACTAATTACAGACAATACTGCTTAATAAAAGAGATTGTCTCACAATTGCATCAATTGAATTGACTTTTTTTCACAGTCACAAAACCAAGTTACTGTTATCCTTAAATAAAAGCATATAGATTGTCATATGCTAGTTTTCATAATAAAATCAGTATTAACTAATGTTAACTGAATTCTCAAGATATTTATATTAGCAAAATATAATTTGAGTTTCAGCTTATAATATCTATCCTTATTAAAAATAACTTGTGGTGGTGGTGTGTATACAAAAAAAGGGCAACATGAATTTTTATTTATAAATAAATCCAAAAGATAGAGGTTTAACAAACATATTTAATACAATATACCCAATATCATATACCTGAATAAATTACTTGGCTTGTTAATATGGGTTACTTGATATTCTATAATGCTCACCAGTCTTCTTTTCATTGATTTTAACTTTTACTGTTTCAACTTTCAACAGTTTTTATTGGCCACAAGCCAAACCTTAAATTTAAAACAACTTTTAGTTCAAACTGACTGCAATACTCAACTGTAAATGGTTTGTTAATAAAATTTCTCTTGCTTAATAGAAGAATTAATGTGCCAATGAATAAATATTTTTTTTTTTTAATAAATGGTTCCCCTATCAAATCAAACAAAAATCCCAGCACCATTAAAAAAAATAAAATAAAAGAATTATATTTTTAGGACGAAAATCATAGACTATTTAATATTTATCTTATTGTATTGGATGTTTATGTAATTATTTTTATAAATAATGTGACATCATTGTTGTTTTTTACTTTTTCAGACTGTCTATACAAAAATAAATTCACTGTTGGATTTTATCAAGTCAGCTTGAATGAATTAACAAAAAAAGCTTATTTTCTGTTTCTGTTATTTTTTTGTAAAAAGATTAATTTTAATGTTTTTTAAACTGTTTTAAGTTAATTTTGAAGCTTCAACAAATCGATCAGTAAATATACAAATAATTTGCCTAATGTCTGTATTAATGTAATCTATAAAATTTTAAATTGGTTTCTCAATTTTTCTTTTTAAGAAAAGAGCAAGTTTATTCTTAAACTTAGTATGAAATCTGACTTCTCTTTGGGCTGATTTCTATATACCTATTAAATAATCATCAAAATTAATTTAAGTTTTAAAATACATTATTTTTGCATCTATAAAAGGGCTTAAGCCCATTCTAACTTGGCTTTTTAAAAGATGCTCTATATTTTATCATGAGCAACCACAAATAAATTTTATACAGTATTGAGAAAACTTGTTGAACACAAAATTTTGACAAGAAATGGGCACTTTAGGAAAAAGAAAACTAAACTTGTAAAAAAATTAATCCTTTTACCATGAGGAAGAAGAATCATTGGAGAAAATTCCAATATAAAAATTGTATCCTGGAAATATTTATGTTTCAGTTTAAAATCCTGTTCTTCAGTTCCAGTCTAAGAAATCAAGCAAACTTTTAACTATCAGCTTATTAGCTTTCTCCCTCTTTTAAGAAATTAAGAAAAAAGTACTAGAGATCCTAATCAACTCTGAATTGGTTAAGCTTCACACCTCAGAGGGTCTTCTTTCAAATTTCTTTTGCTTCTCTAGATCAACTGCTTATGTATTAATTGCTGAAAGAGTCTTTAGATAAGAAGGGTGAAACTCTGACTGTTGCTTTGGATATCTGAAATGTATTTGATAGAGTTTGGGATGCTGACCTTCTTCACAAGTTGAAAGGTTATGGCATTTCTGAACAAACTTTTGATTGGATTTAATCTTGCTCATCAAATCATGAAATGGCCACTCTTCTAGATCTTTTTGCATTATTGCAGGTATCACCCCCAGCTCTATCCTTGGACCTCTGTTTTTCCTAATTTTCATCAATGACTTTCCCAATGTCAACAGTTCTCAACTAGGTATCTCTGCTGATGACAACCATTTACTCCTATCTTAATGGTAAGTCAGTAAGGTCAAATTGACAGCTGATCTCAAAAATGATCTACAATGTTTTGTTAACTGGGGCAAAAATGGCTTGTTAATGTTAACACCTCCAAACAGAGCCAATCTCTTTTAATAGACTTTTTTGCCTTTCATCAGTATTGCTAATGCTAATCCCCAGGAGACTAACTTATTATACCTTCTCAGTCTTTCACTGTCATGAAATGGAAAGATTATATTAGTAGTTCTGCTGCTAGGAGAGTCGGTTCACTATGTTATGCTAGAATCTATCTTGCACATGAGTCTACCATTCATCAAGGCATTGAATATTGCTGCCACATATGGTGCTTCTGTGATGTATTTAGAGATGCTTGATAAAATACAAAGAAGATTCTGCAATATTATTGTTCCAGATCTGGCATCTTGGTCAGCTGCTTTCCCACCACCTTAACATTGCTTCCCTGTGCCTTTTATATAAATATTTTCATGGTAATTGTTCTGATGAGCTTTCCTCTTTGGTACCTAGACTTTATGAATTTAAGTGTACTACTACATTGGTGGCAAGGTTTTATCATTTTACAGTTGAAATGGCTAGATGTCATGGAGTTCTATGATAACAGTTTCTTCTCTTGCAGTTTTAGAACAGATCGAATAAATAATAAAAGTTTTCGTCATCCTTATACCAGCATCTTTCAAAGTGAATTAAATATTCTAAACTACTTAAGTGAAAAGTTGCTTTAAACAAAAAGAAGTAAATACATTTCTTCATTTTTCAATAGGACAATCATTATATTACAAACTTTTGACTGAATTGATGAATTGAATTATCTAATTGGTATTGTATTTAATGAAGTATTATTTTTGTCCACTGTATTTCTTAGCCTTTCTCAGGTTGCATCCCATAAGAGACAAATCAACTATATTAAATTTTAAAAGACTGAACCCAACAAATAGATTTTCTTAAAAAAATGAAATATTAAAGCAATATTAATAAAAAAAAATAATTTAATTAAAATTATCTTGATATTCCCAATTGCTTTTAAGAAGCTGGAGTCTGCTGCGAAAAATGAACCAATGCTAAACTTAAGAATTTTTTTTCTCCTAGAAGAAATTGAGACACATTTTTTTTTAATTCTAATATTTACCCAATACAATGTTTAAGAGCCACTCAAGGTAGAGGGTTAGTAAATGAGGTTTTTGTATGGCTGTAAGAGGAGGAAGTAGGTGCATATTATGAAGATGACCCTAGATTTGTAAAAGTTAAGATTGTAGTGATCAAAGAAGCATGCTCTTGGAATTCTCTTCCACAAAGCAGCAGTTCTTGAGAAGAAACTAAGTAGAAGCTTCTGTCTTACTAATGGAACATGAAAGGAGTGAGGATGATTTAACACTGTATAGATTGCATGATGGGACCCTATCTGTAAAGGTCTGAATTGGTGAATCTAATGAATGTAACTCATCTGAACATTTGCCACTGAAGTAGCAATATGTGGGAAACGGAATGTAGGGTTAAAAATAATTCCTCAAGGCCATGTAAACTAATTTAAAATAAAAATTATAGACCACATTAATTATACTACAGGCATCAGCCAAATTATTATGTATATACACTTATTGATCAATTTATTAAGTTTCAAAAATTAAATTAAATTTCAAAATTAATCTGAAATTTTAAACAATTTAAAATTTTTTTTTTTTTTAAGGTATCACCAAAATGAATGCATTTTTCCTATGAAATGAAAGCAAAAACGCTATCTGCTGTTTTTAAAATTTAATAAAAAAAACCTGAGTATTATCTTATTTAAACCAAATTTTCAGTACTTATTAATGACTGAATTGTATACTGAATAGTGTATTCTATTAGAAAACCTTTGGTAATATTTGTTCCACCTGCACTTTTTGATATCATAAAAAAAAAAAAAAAAAGAAAAAAAAATCACCAAAATAATTGAAAACTCAAAACATGTTTTTGGAGAATTGGTGGTTGCATGATTTAATAAAGCGGGTATGATTCGGTAGAAAACTGGTATATTTTTTCCCCCCACAGTAATTATTGCAGACTCAAATGTGAGTCCAAATAAGAAATGAATCAAGTAACAACTATATATATGTAATGGCCCAGTGGGTAGATGGGCCAATACTATTTATATTATACTTTCAACGTACAGGATTCAAGTAAACAACAAAACTCCAAATGTGAATCAACAAATATATATTGAAATAACATACAAGAACAAACATGCAATAAAATTGTATTCGATGTATAGATTAAAGGAAAGAAGTTGTTCCCCCTTAATTGTATTTTGGTTTGTAATTGATAGTTCAAAGTTCTTTTTGAGAGAAAAGTGTTCTGGAATCAATATTAGAACAAAGGTCTGTTTGTTAGAATAGATAACACAAGAATACAGTTGATCAGAAATGTGTTGTGTTATAGAATGGTTCAAAATTAACAGAGCCCTTGTTGATTGAGCTTGGCTAAGTCACAGAGAGAAGTGTGAGTTTATATTACAAAATTCTGTGTATGTGTGCGTTTGAAATGTTATGAGTAAGATCGTGGACTTGTTTGGACAGGCAAAACTTGCTGGATCCTACTGACGACTTGTGAAAAAAGTCGCCTCTTTTTAAGGAAAAAGAATAGGCTCCCACAGAAGCACGGGAAAAGGTTAATCTGGCACTAAAATATGTGATTGGTTAAATACTAACCAATCACTACATTCGTACTAACAAAACAGGCAAGCAAACTCAAAACCGAAAGATTCAAAGAAATGACTGCGATGGCTAAATTGTCCTATAGAAAAGTAGTATTGATTTATTAGCCAATCGCTGACGAATAAAATGTGGGTGTGGAAAAACATAGGAATCGATACATATATATATTATATAAATGACAACAGGCATACTTAAACAATAACAGAAGATTTTTGAGTGTAACAAAAACACTGAATATGAAAGAAGAAAAATTAAAACTAGAAAATGTGTGTGTGTAAAGTTTAGTATAGCAGGAGTCACAGAGAAAAGTAATGGAAAGTGAAGAGAATGTGTGCGTGACCCAATGGATGATGATTTTTTTTATATGCATCCATCTTAGTGTCACTGAAAGAAATGGAGAGGTTGATAGAGAATGTCAATGTCTATTTGAGTTGATAATGGCTCCCAGTCTGATATATTTGTGTTTGTTTTAAAATTTGTTTTAAGAGTGTGTGTGACTTAGCTGAAAAAAATTGGTTTGTGGTTAGAATGTGCAGTTAGAGATATATATATTTTCTAATAATTGTATAAATTTGTTATTGTGTTTTTCTGCTACAAAAGCACATATTCTTTGAGATTTGATAGGAAAAAAATCTACACTAAATATTTATTTTTAAAAAATTTACTTATAATTTTTCAGTGCAATTTTTAAATTAGGTTCCTCCACTTGCTCATTGAAAAAACAACCACAAACTTAATAAAAAAAAGTTTTATCGTTAAAATTTATGTTACTATTACAAGGAAAGACCAAAGTATTTTTTATCATTAAGTTTTTTCTAGCATGTTTGAAATTTTGGTTAAAAATCGTTCTTTTTAATCAGTGGATCAGTGGTTGATGTACAATTTAGTTAAATACTTGTATATACTATGTTTTAAAATAAAATTTGTTTAAAATCTGAGCATTAACTTTTATTTACAAATCTATCAAAATGGCCGATATTTATCGATTTTCTGAAAGCAACCAAAAAGTTGAGATTCAAATCAATATTATTTCTATTTGAAATACACCAAGAGTATTTTGCTTCCAGGAAATATTAAATTCAATTATTTACCTTTCAATTAAAAAAGCTAAAAAGAAAGCCTCAAGAATGCTTTTCATTTTTAAAAAAAAATCATTTTTAAACCTAAGATATCTAAAAAAAAATTTGGTGGAGGTCCCTATTTTAAATTCATCCCATTACATTTTTTTATTTTTTTTTATTTAGAGTCTACAAATGTAAAGTTTATGCTATTTATGAGTGAACATTTAAAATAATTTTCATTTTTAACATTAACAATGATTTTTTTTTTTGTATAGAAGTTCAAAAAGGAAATAATTCTGTAACTGTAGTGTAATTCATAAATATTTATCATTCCCAACCCTGCTCTTCTTGTATGTAGCACTTCCTTAATTTAAAAAAATTTAAATCAGAATAATTTAAAAAAAAAAAAAAACTCATTGGGTGCAATTAAATAGGTTATGACATCAGACAAGAGAGAAAATAATATAGAATTCAAATCAAAACAATGAATTGAATTCAAAAGTAATTTTGAAATTAATTTCTCTTTTTACATGTAACTTTAAATTCTACAAAGTGTCATAAAACTAAAAAAAAGCATATAAAAAAAATTATATTCTTAAATTATTGGTTATGGTAATTTATTTGTTACCATAAACAATACTGTATACAATACCAATTTCTAGATTGTAAGTAACTGTAGTAGTCCTTTTGAGTTTGTCTATATCAAAGAAGGTGAGTTCAATTCCTGGTTAAGGCAGTGGAGAACTTTCAGAGGGAAAATTAGCAGGAGATAACTGATAACTGACATCCATCAAACATTGGAATTAGAACAGTCTACCCCAGCGATCGAAATAAAGGGTTCAGTTCGAAATTCCAACCACCTGAAGAAGGCCGGAGCGTACAACGGCCGAAACGTTGTGACAAATATGGCGACAAAGATGAGGACAATAGTCCGACTAATGTAAATACTGTAGTCCTTTTTGAGTTTTGTTTTGATCCTTCGTACGTTTTAAAATTTTACTAATGCTGATGACCTATGAGCTTGCTTGACAGATCATGGGCTGTAGCACGTAAATGTTATTTTCACCATGATTTAAAGAACAAAAAAAAAAAAAAAAAGTATTTTTCCAAAATCTAAGTAATCCTTTGAACAAATTTGACTTTTAAGAGATTTTAAATTTTCCCTTCATTTTTCGTCTTGAAGGTTCTAAGAGTTGATGGATAATGTCTGATCGTAAAAAGTTTTAAAAAAGTTTTTTTTTTTTTTTTTATTTTTCTTACGGAGCTTTTTTTAGGTTATCTTTCAAAAACTAAACGACATATTCAAATCTGTCTTCTTTTTTCTTTTTTTTTTAGGAAAGGTCGTGGTGGTACCCGGACATAAAAAAGAGTACTATTGTTAGATTTTTAATACCTTTTTAGTTTTTAGTTTATAATTACAAGTAAAAAAAAAAAAAAAATCCACTCATTCTTCTTACTTAATTTTTATTTTTTAGGTAATAAATGTGTCAGTCAGCAGACAATTTTTTAACCAGCCTTAGAGAATCCTTTTTTTATTTTTTTTCATGAAATAAGTACCTCAAAAATAACTTTTGTTTGATATACGCAATTTTTGCTTATTTATGATTGCATCAAAATATTTTTACTTCTACTGTATTTTCTCCAATTTTAGTTTTAAAAAGTTATTGATCTGATTACCATTGAAAACAACGCTAACTTTTAACTTCATAAATTGCACTTGCACATAATCATTTTTAATTCTTTTCTGACAGTTTGATTGAATAAAACAAATAGGTAGAAATATATTAATTAAAGGAAAATGAAAAAGTTATGATACCAACCTGAGGTTCTGATGCTTGGCACCTAACAACAGCAACAGTATTTGTATGACCAGTCATAGTGTGAACACAAGCTTTGGTCCTCATGTCCCAAACACGTGCTGTTCCGTCGCGACCACAAGTAACCAAAACATCAATACTAGGATGAATATCCAGACCGTACACAGCGCTCAAATGACCGTGATAATGTCTAATCACTTTGTTGTATTCTAGATCCCAACATTTCACTAGTTTATCTTCTCCGCATGAGAAGAGGTAAGGATTACGGGGACTGACGCACACGCCGCGGACAGAACTTACGTGTCCAGTAAGAGAAAGTTTTAAAATACCACTTGCCAGATCCCAAATTTTAATGACTCGATCTCCTCCTCCAGTCACAAACCATTCATTTTTAGGCTCCACAGAAATGCATCTTACCCAACCTAGATGACCAGAAATAACTCTATATAGTTTCCAAGGAGGATGCCACTGTGGCTTCGGCATGGTCGGGGCTTTCCTTGGTATTAGGGTTTGATTTAAGGTCGTATTCTTAGTACTAGAATCTGTTCCTTTGGAATCAAGTGCTGCTACTTGCATTGATGACGAAGATGAACTAGTTGATACCACAGAGCCATCAGCTAAGACGGTTTTGTTATAAGTAATAGGCAAAGACTCAGATTCGCCAGACGTGACTTGGATACCGTGCTGTTGTTGGTCAGCGTGCTTTTTTACTTGAGGAACATCGGGACGCGGCATGTCTTTCACTAAACTGTATTCATTTCGCACCTTAATGTCAGCCCAGAGTTTGCCACTTTTTTCATCTACAGCCGGTACAAAGCTTTGGTCCGATAAAAACATATCATGAGTGCGCTTTAAAGATCGAAATACTAATGTATGTACAGAATGCTTCAAAACGTCTTCTGTTCCCGATGCCATTTTGAAGATATTCACCGGAAACACGTTACGGAAGAGTTGCACGCAGGAAAAAAAGTGGGAAAGCAGTAAATAAATGCAATTTGTTAATTAGTGTTAATACATTATATATTCAACAATATAATTTTATTTAAAAAGTAAATGATTAAAAATTACAGTTATATCATTTTAAGAGCTACTTAGTTTTGGGAAGTGTTACTGTATCTTGTTTTATGAAATTAAATTTTTGTGCTAAAAAAAAAAAATAGGACTGAGGAAAGTCAATTGAATAATATGTACTTTTCTTTTTGCTTTGTCTATTGATCAAATTAATTTTTTCAAAAATGAAAATACTGTAACTTAAAACATGTAAATATTTTTTCAAACTAATTACAGATTTTTTTGGACACTAACCAGGTTATTGATATGCATGTTAAAGAAACATGTTCATAAGTGGTAAACTAAAAAAAAAAACATGGTGATAAAAGACTAAGAGCATCGAGGTTGTTACATCATGGCAAAAATATTTATACATTTTTGTTTTAGCTTAATCGAATAATGAGTATCTCTTAAATTTTTTAAGAAATACTTTGGTTAAGAAGATTTAAAGCTAAAAATGAAATGCATACTTTTCTATTTATGAAAATGACCTTTTTCTTTATTTTAAGAATTGTCATTTTTCGAGAAAAATTAAGGGAGTCACTAAGTATTCTTTAAGAAAGTGGAGTTAAATTAGTCATATAAATCTAGACTGGTATTTGAATTCGTGTCCGACATACCGAACAATATTCAATTTACATTTTATTTTACAATGTTATTGTTAGCGTACCACTAAAAAGTGAACCCTAACTTTGTCCGCATTGATGTTCGTTTTTTGTTTTTTTTATTACGCATATCCTTTGTTACGAAAATATGGCTGTTATTACTTTTTTGATTTTTATTGAGTCAGTTAATTTCTTTAGTAGAGAGTTTAGTAGAATAAAACTTGGTAGAAACTAATCGCGTTTTTAAAATGTTTGCCATGGCTTCTCTTATGAATTCTACAAAAAAAAAACAATAAAAGGTGGGGTGGGGGCAGAGAATGCATTCAATCAAAGAGTGAAATAATTTTTTTAGTTTATTTAAATAAATTGTTTCATCTGTTTTTACATATTTAGAATGTCTTCCTTTCTCAGTACTACGCCCTATAGCCCCCACTACTTGAGGCATACAGTGAAGGAGTTGGCACCAGCATCACCAAACCTCTGCATATCACTGCCCAAAAGCTCTTGCTTTTAAACAGTATTCAATGCTTCCTGTCCAAATTTTTCTGCATCGACTTACATTTTCCAATGTCAGCATATTTTCCCCAAATTCTATAATTTTGAGGAAATATTTTTCTTCACTTCAAATACTGTTATCTTTAATTAGTTTTATAAAACTGTAGAATCTCCCACAACACAACCAGCCTTACCTCTTCCTATCTAGTAAGCCAAATTCTACCTTCAGACAATATAACAAGTATTCATTGGTCAATCACCTCCAATCTGGCTTGCTGATTGGTCAGTTCCAACCAATCAAACCGCCTGCACGCGACCAAGCTGTTTTCCCGCTCTTAGGCTGGGAGCCACTCAGTGATTATATAAACAGAAAACGTGCGAACCTTCCGAGCAGTAATTACCAAGTTTCAAGATGTAACATTCACCGACTCCCGTCTTAGTCATTGCTGACCAGACGTTAAAGACAATTACCAACTTTATGCAGTCAGTAACACGAATTCACAGAGAACCTTCCAAAATACTCCACGTCACTACGAATCACGATTTTGCCGCGCAAAAAGATACATCGCTGACTCATACTCGATCACGATTCAATCAACTCTGTTTACATCATTTCTCAACTTTGCTTATCTAAAGTGAATCAAATTCACTACTTATTAAGTAAACTCTACGAATGAACGACCTTAGAAAAATATTACAGTTAAAGGTAGATCACTCTTAGAAAACTCTTTCTATAAGACACTTAATATCAACAATCGCAAATATTGACACAAACAAAAAATACTCCAAATGAATGAACAATTACGAAGAGAGACATTCTGAAATCTGAAGAAACCGCATACACATTTCGCCTACACAACATACATCAATTATCCTGTCTGTATATTGTTTGATTTGTATATAAATGTTGTATTGATTTCTAATTGAATATGTCTCGTTTTTCAATTGCATTTTAAATTTCATTTATTTATTTGTTTGGGATGCAGAAAGTCACTCAAATTCCTTCTGATTCTTTCTAACATAATTAACAAACTCTGCACGTCCCCAACAAAACCACTAAATTTAAAAGAAATACTTTTGATTATTATTCTCATCTTTGTTGTTGTTATCACAATACTTCATCCATTGTGCTCTCCAGATTTCATCAGGTGTATGTTAATGAAGGTTATCTACAAAGTATTCCAAGCTATCTCCTTTATTTAATCTACAGTGGTAGACTGTTCTCATTCCACTGCCTATGTATCGAGATACCTCATATACTGCTTATTTTTAGTACTGCTTAATTATTGCTTGCCCTGTTTCCACATTCCAAGGATTGAACTCACAATTACTGTCACCAAAGGCACAAACCAATGCTTTAATCTGTTAGGCTATTGTCTCTCTGTACAACTTGGAGACTTAGACCTGACTTTCCTGCTGATGAGTGTAGCTGATACTGCTTGCTCAGATAACTGCACTCACTGTAGGTACCCAACACCTGATGAATACCAGAGGGCACAACAGCCAAAATATTGTGATAACAACAACAAAGATGAGGACAATAGTCTGCATGTAAATAGTGTAAATAATGATAACGCTTCATCCCAGAATATTCAGAAATGAATGAATAGATTTGACTTATAAATTTCTAAACAATAAAATTATTGAAAAGTTACAAAGTTACAGGTATAAATGACATTTTGTCTGAAGGTCAGCCTTTAAAAAGTCCATATAAAGGCTAACCTATTGTGCTTATATCTTTCATTGTGCATGTGATATGGGATAATATTTCTAGCTTTGTGATCAATCTTTAGGTAAGATATTTTAACATCTTGTAGTTCTATTCTTTCATCGTCCAATGAGTTCATGTATGATTTTTTTATTGAAATATTTGTATCAGATCAGATATCAATTTAAAATTATGTAAAGTAAATTAGCCATTTCATCTAAATTCTCCAGATTTTTTTGATTAGTAAACATTTTGTGTTCAATTAATCAAGAAATTCTTAATTTACAGAGTAAAAATCACTGTTAAGAATAAAAGTATATACAATGTCAAAAGAAAGCATAAACTGTGATATGTAATGTTTCATTTAACACTAATAAAGTCAAGTAGCTGCTATAAAAAAAAATAATTACTAATAATGTTAAATTAGAAAAGAAAATAATTAGATTCTAAGTCATACACAAATAAACAGATACTTCACTAATACTACCTAAAGCCATAGCATTAAGTATTTGTTGTAAACAACTTCAAATACAATGCTCTTTTTCTTCTGAATGTCAACAATTTACTTTCTCTGTTAATAATGACTTAAGGAGATTATACTTTTAAGCAATGAATATGAATAATCAAAAAATATTTTTGATATGGAATAACATTAACAAATTGGCCAATTTTGTTTTTAATTCTCATTGATGTCTCAAAATTATGAATGGACTTTGTCCTTGATGTTTTGGTAACTATTTAAATTCTGGATTGCTTGAAATTTAAAATTGCAAATATAGAAACTATGAATACAGTCTAATTTTCTGGTTTGCACAACTGAGGAAAAAAATAATAAAACATCTTTCTCCAATATACATTGTATATCTGAAGACAATAGAATGGATCTGCTGAAACATAATGGCAACAACAAAAGCACAAAAGAGAATGAAATCGATGTTTGGATTTTGAACATTTTTAATGGGAGGGGTATAAAAATTAATATGAATAGAAATTGATATGGATGAAATATAACATTGAAAAAATATTGAAAATGAAAACAGAAATATTGTAGTATATCTCAACACTTTTAGAATCTTTTTAGTCAGAAAAAAATAGTACATAAAATGATCGTCTAAAATTTATTTCAAGTTGTTACACCAGGCAGGAAAAAAGAAAACCAATATAGTTTGTATGTAAGTGAACAGAGACACAAGGTATATTTTCAATTTAGACAAGCTCAGAGAAACCTTAACAACTTGATTCCAAATATCAGGTCACACTTCTAATATATTCTCTCACTTTCTGGGTTTTCTTATTTAATGCATGCATAATTTTATTCCCTGAGACAGAATCTAAATTTCCCGTACTGGTGAGGCATTTGATTCATCTTTATAAAGTACATTACCAATAAGCCGTGATAGTGATCTTACTTGAATTTATAGGAACAAACCCACATATGCAAACCACCTTGATTTCCTTGTCATGACCTAATAACTAATATACCAGCAAGAGTAAATTATATTGTTAAGTTTAAAAGTTTGATTTTTTTAATATTTTTATATATTGATTTTGGAATTTTCCTAACACAACTGAGAATTTTGACAAGATAAAGTAATTGAAATGTAGTAATATAGAAATGAGATTTGCCTAATTTACATATGAGCAATTAGACTTCTATGTATTTGTCCTTCTACTATATGAGGCATTTGAGCTTGTGGTCACTACTAGTTCAATTAAAAACAGTGGCAACCAAAATTTTCACATGTAAATGATGGGTTGTCATTGTGTGTAAAGCTAAAAAGAAATGGAATAAATTTCAAATTTTCCAATGTATAACTGATAAATGAGTAACAGAAGAAAGAAAATACACAAGCTGAAAAGGAAAGGAAAAAAATTAAAACTTAGCTATTCGGAATTGTGTGTGTTTGTGATACACATGTGTGCATCTGTGTATAAGTTCAGCCACTTGGAGGAAAGGAGTGTTCCCCAGGATGGATGAGGAGTGTACATGACTTACCTCGTTCTAGATGAAAGGAGAGAGAGGAAGGTTATATCTGAGTTTTTATAGTCCTGAAATAGCACTGCCTAGTGGTGTCCTTGCTAAGTGGTGGTAATCCCCACAGCCTTGATTCTCACACGTCACAACAGGTAATATAATAATTATAGTTTTAAGATGTCTCAGTCAGTACAAAGAAATGTGAACAAACCCAGATATGCGTCCAGGAAAATATATGGAGAAAAATGTCTAAATAGAATAAGAAATCAGTTCATGATTAAGATGAAACATTCTGATAATGATAATAAAAAAAGAAATATGTGTTAACAAATAACAAGTGAACAATGATTAAAACTGAATGTTGAACAAAAGAAAAATATCAAAGAAAAGATGGAATAATTGTCGGTCTTAAAATGATATTGGATTTAAATCCAATGTAGCAAAAAAAACATTAGATAAGATTAGTCAATTTTGAAATCCGATGACTTACTCTTGGAAGAATACATGCTAATAGGGCTAAAGTATAACCTAATCTTATGATGAGAGATGGCTAACCCATGACACCAAAAAGTGGCACTTTGCATGATTACATCCCACTGCTTTTTGCCAATCAGTTTACAGCTGACACTTGTATGCTATGGAGTTGTACTTTATTTATTTTTGTAAATATTTGCATTGTACTTTTTTTTTTTAAATTATGTCTGCCATTGCCTATAATAATAAAAAGGATAATGGACAAGAAAAAAAGAAGAAAATGATAATAAACATGGATCCCATGTATAAAATGAAAGGGAAATTTTATTTACTGTTTATCCTCCAGAAAAACTATTTTGTGTTGTTTGTGAAAAGATTTCTTCATATGATACAAGACATGATAAAACAAATCAGACTGAAATAAAAGGAAAACTGAAATTAGTGCCTGAATATGAATTACAGAAAAAATATGGAAGAAGAAGTAAAAAAAATAAAATAAATTACAGCTTTCTTCAATAATAAAAAAAGGAAAGTCAGAAAAATAAACTTTCATTGTATTCTTTTATTACAATTTTTATCATCACTTTTTAAAACAATAAACATTTCTGACAAGTGAAGGTAGTTAAAATAAAAGCGGTGTCATGGGAAAAACTGTCCTTTTGACACTACATATTTTTTCGTCATGAAGGTCAATGTTTGCCATATTTTCTCTCAAACAACTATACATATTTTTGTCTGTTTCCACCCATGAACAAAGTGTTACCAAATTGGGATGGTGAGGTAAATTTATCTCTACCAACCATTTTAACACAAGAGTCCTTTGTTGAAGACTGTTTTGAAGAAGACTGCATACATTTAAACCCATTTTCACTTAGAGAACAAAAACATCATGAGGATGCCTAGTAACATACAAATGGAATTTGTTGGCTTGAGAACAAATTCTTTATTGAAAATGAAATTTGATGATCTTATTTTAATCTCAGTGGCTTCTGACATTATTTTTTGAGATTCATTGCTCTGGATATTTTCCAGAACTAAGAAAACTTGCACAGAATTATATTTGTCATTTTCTGAGCAATGTAGACAAATATTTTTAACTACAAAAAGGATTAAAAATAATGAAAGTGCAATTAAAAGGTCAAAATTTAAAGAATTCTCTACTGTTCAAAACAAAGTCAAAAAAACTCATTAAGGAAAGTAATGCTTATCTTGTTTTCATATTAAATCAATAAATTTTATAAAAATGTAAATAACTTTTTATATAAATATTTTACAAGTATTAAGAGGAGTAAGACTTATATAACATGTCTGAATTCAGGTGTATGGAGGCATGGTAGAGTAATGGACAGTGGCTCGGATTGAGGAATTGGAGAGCTAGGTTTGAATTCCAGTTGGATCCATTACATTCGCTTACATGCTAATACCCTTGGGAAGGGTATGAATCCTTTTCTCCCCTCAGCTATGAGTAAATAGCAGGACAGACTGTGTTCTATAACCTTGAGTGGCTTCAAGGAGAAAGAAAACTGAATTCAAAACTGGACTGGGGGGGAGGGTTGAATTCCGTCAGGCTATCTTGCCCAAGAAACACCACTTCTACTGCAGCTGCAGTAAACATAGTGTCCCTATGACACTGATGGGTCACAGGATTCATGATCAATCAAATTCAGGTGTATAAAATAAATGTATGGAATATGAAAAGTGGGCCAACCCTACTCTAGAAAGACTTCTGCTACCAGTAATAGTTACTATATACATCAAATCAATTTAATTTTATCAGTTTTTCTATGAAAAAAAAATGATAAAATACTTTTCACGTTATAGATGCTATGACATAAGTAAATAAATGAGAAAGTTGTAACTCAGAACTAAAAGTAGCTTTGAAAATTTATATTCCAGTTGAAAGTGCTATAGTGTCTTAATATGAGAAAGTTACAATTTTCTTGGCTAGAACTGATTCTAGCATTTGGTTACTTTGAGTAGTGTCTGAATCTATTTTTTTGTTAAATATTTCAAAATTATCATTGGTAAACTTTAAAGTAATCAATTTATTATTGATCAAATTTTCCTTTTGTTCTATGGACAAAAACTAATTGATTTTTTTTCTATTTTAAAATCATGATTGACCAGAGAAACAAATGAACAACTTGTTTTTAATTTAAAAAAAAATCTATACATTTTTAAAATTGATGCTCATTTTTGTTCAAAAGTTGTTTCCCTTTACAATGATGGCGACTCTGGGAGATCCTTTCACCCAGCTGAGTTATTACTTCTTTTTGGACAACAAATAACAGTGTAGAGTCTGAAGAAATATTTTAATAGCGACATAATTAGCATAAAATAGCCATGGCTAATGTTCCCGACCGATTGTGTTATGTGTATAGCTGTGATTTGGACGTCAATGTTGAAATAAAAATGTAAGTTTGTTGTTGTTAAGTCAATTTTCGCCATTACCCAAATTCTATTTCTTTATTATTGTTATATTAATCAACCTAAAATATTGTAAAAAAAAAAAAAAAAAAAAAAAAAAAATGATACTGAATAATTCAAGATTCAAAGTGAATTTCCCCACATACCAATGCTTTAAGGATAACTTCCTAAAAATCTACCCCCACCAAAAAAAATCAAGTGTTCAACAGCCTTTCTCTTTTCTCACGTGCAAATCTACTGTACACGACAATTAGGGTTGAAACATGTTTCAAGATTCCAAGTTTTTGTGCCGTTTCTATTTTGACTTAAAAAAAAAAAAACTGAAGAAATTGTCTTCAATTTAACGAAATTCTCAAATTATTAAGCAATCTAGTTTTAAATGGCGTGTACATTCTACCAAAAACATTAAAGAAATGTGCATGTTTTTGTTTTGTCAGACTTAAAAAAATGACAGATTTCATCTCATTTAATTTTTTTTTTTTTCATTTCATCAAAAGAAACAACGTGGTTTTAAAAAATGAAAGTTACTTATTTTTTACTCTAGGTTTTAATTTCTTTTAAGCATTTTTTTCCCTAACAAATTTTTAACAATCCTCTCCCCAAAATTGAACGAAGCTGTTTTTTTTTGTTTGTTTTTTTTTCTTTACGGCCATTTAAAAATTTTCATTTTATTTTTTATGATGTAATCGATATTTGAACTTTGAATCTGACACGAATCTTATATTTGTCTTTAACATTTTTACAGGGTTTGTTGGCAAAATCTTCGTTTTACTTTTATGAAGCAAATACTTTATCAAAGTTTCATAGAAACTTTAGTTTTTTTCAACCCCCCTTGAAAACTGTATCAATTTTTATTTAATTTAATTAAATTTTATTTTGACTATTTCAGTCGTAAAAAAACAAAACAAGCTAGTCTTTAGTTTAAATCCTAAGCCACGCTTATCGCACTTTTTGTAATAAAAATAAGCGATTTTTACTAAAAAAATCTCGAGCAATTTTTAGTTTTTAAAATAAATAAATAAATATGTATAAAGAAAAATTATTTTTCACTATTTTACACCAAATGTAAAAAAAACGAAATACCAGAAAACTGATCAATTATTTAAAAAAAATAATTTGACATTTTTTTTTGTATCAGGTAAATTACGATTTCCTTTGACGTTTTGAGTTTTTGGTTTTCCTGTCTATCGTAAAAAGGCAAATTGTTTTCAGAATATTCTATTAATTAAAATAAGATTATATTTTCGATTTTTAAAAAAATTTATACACTATTTTCTTAAAATACGATATTTTTATTTTTACATTTCATTAATTTTTCGTAGTTTAATAATTACTTAATCAATGGAACTGTAGTGTCATAATTTTAAAACATCGAACGAAAGAAATGGGCGAATCTTTTTAACCACTCCTTATCTCCAATAAAGCTTGTTTAATTTCATTGAAACAATTGTGCAGGATAATGTTAGGATTCATTTATTAAATATTTTTACTACTTTTGAAGAGAGTAAGTATCAATATTTAACAAGAAGCCGGTCCTGTAGATGACTAATACTCACTGTGTCTCATATTTTCGTCGTGTCTTTGTCTCAATTAATTCTCATGGGTTGAAGAATGAGGAGATAGAAGCTTGGGTAAGAAAATACAGAAAAAAACCTTCATATTAGTTAGCTGCTATTAGTAATTATTAGTGTTTTCCTTTTAACTTAAAAGGGGCATTCTTTCTTAGGAAAAAGAAAGGATTCCCTACTAACGCTAAAATAAAAAAAAGGTCCCCACCAATGCTTTTAGTTTTCTTCCTTTCACAGTACAGCATTATTTTTCACATTTTACTACAGTAACAGTAACACTGTGCCTCAACAATCAAATTTAACTTAAGTAACGATGTTTCCTTCAAAATCAAAATATTTATTCATATAGTTTTTTACTTTTTTTTTAGTGGGCGGGGGCGGATAAAATCTAGAGATGTTCAAGTTCCTTGGTTTTATTTACAAACTTTGTAGACCATGGATTTTTAGCACAAAAACTAATGCAAAAAAAACAAAACAAAAAAGAAACTTATTTTGGGGAGTCTTACCGATCCTACACACTCTCTGCTTTTTATGCTAACTAATGAATAAATATAATATCTGCAATAAAACCTGCTTATTGATATTTATTGTCAGTTGCAAGAAAGATTTATCTGCCAATTTTCATTGATCTAAAAAAAAAAGCGAGTCACTTAGTTAATAGAACCAGATGTCGCTGAGTGATTAACTTGAACTAATTTGTGAACACTGGTAGTGGTACATATGAGAAATACATTTTAAATGTTTCACGTCGAAAAGCGATGAAAAATTTCTACGCAATTTTATTTTCAGCACACTCATTAAATTTGAAAGATTACCGATTTTTGTTTTCTTGTAATTTGTAACTTTTTGTTTCAAAGTTATCTCCCTTGTACTGGCGGCGACGCCAGTGCAAAGGAGATAACTCAATTGCAATATGTCCCTTTTAACTTCTAATTAATGTTTTACTCACATACAAAATTCAGACAGAAAATGTCTCAATGTTTATGAAGCCAGATGTAAAGACTGAATCCATGAAAAAACAGAAATAAGTGGAACAATACATATATAACATAATCTTTGACAGCATAAATTAGTTAATAATCAAAATTAAATTATTCTCAGTTCATGTAGTATGAATTTAAATTTAGAAATTCTTTTTAATTTAAAAAAGAAGCAAAAGATGCCTAAATTAGTAAATTACTCCTGTTTTCCAAATGAATAAAATTTGATATCTTTCTTTTTCTAAGGATGGAAAGATTTGGTTAAACCCATAAGTCTCCTTGCTTTGGGTGACTAATTACTGATTTATACCTGTAAATAATGGAATAAATAATAAAATTCTATAGCAACTTCACCATGGGCTTGATTTTAAATTTCATCATTTTGTTTTGCTCTTAACATTATGAACAAACCAGATACATATGAACATACATTTAAATTTCTCTACTTGCTTAATTAATATTCATAGGTGTAAATTATCCTATTATCTTTTTTGTTTAGATAAGTTTGAAATTGGAAAGAAAAAAATATATAAACCTTTCAAACAATTGATCCATCAGCTTTCATGTCAATTATATTTTATTTTTATTTAATTTATTTTTTTTATTAGTTGGTTGGGTGGGGATGGGGGATTGCAAGCTCCACCCACTACTTATTGCTGTTTTTACTAATAGCTTATAGAGGGAGTTGATTCCATTTGTGGCTTAAATTTTGAGTTGTCTTTCTCTTAGAATTGGTTCCAACAAAAGCTAGAGTCCAGCCTTCCCTGCTTTTTGATTTCTCAGTGGAGAAAAAGAGCTGAATACATGCCTTTCTCATGGGTATTTATGAAAAATGAAAACAATCTCAGCCAGAATTTGAACCTCAGATTGCCAGTTGCATTTTCCATGGTGTTAACCATTATCACACTTACATCTGCATGCACTTAAAATAAGTTCATTCATTTTGGCAATTGATTTTACCTCCCTGTTGATTTATACCACACTTTGTTTGTCTTTGATATATTTTGTTGCATTTAAAAGTTTTTCTAACATTATTATTGTTTCTCTGTATTTTTTGTATATCAACTTTTATAAAAATCATTCAAATACTGTTTTATGTGAAAGTCTATATATTTTTGACAATTTGAATTAAAACTGTTGCCTTGTAAAATTGTTTTGCTATGATAAGACCTTTTAATTCTCTTTTATAATGTTTTTAATTATGACTTTCTCAAATGTGTTTTTAAAATATTTGCTTAGTCTAATAATATTTTCATGATTCTAAAAGTTTTGAAATATCAGAATGAAAATGACTAATTCATTAGACAAGTCTTATAAAATAAGTTTTAATATTGTTTTCTATTCCTTACATTAATATTTATTTTTGTTTCTAAAAATCTTTCAGTGGAACTTTGGAAGGTCACAGAGAGAGGCCAAGTTATAAAGACTTTTTAAATGATCCAACCTTAAAGTTTTCAGGAGTTTATTGTGATGGCTGTTCAGATCTTTATGTTACATGCCAAGTATTCTCCGATTCGAGATCATTATCACTTCCTGTTCAGACTTCATTCAAATCTTTCACTACCAGATGGAAGTAAGTTTTCTTGCTTTATTTTTTTTTTTTAATTTTATTTCAGCATTTACAAGGATATTTTATCAACATTGTGTCCTATATGAGTACACATTTCTACAACCTTTTTATTTACAATAATTACCAACATTGTACCTGTGGAAATTTCCTGATTTTCCTATTTGAATTTTTTATGAATCATAATTTTTAATTTAATGATTGAATAAGCCCTTTTGCTAATTCCACAAGTATAAATACTTGTGGAAATTCCCCTAATACATTGTTAAATATTTTAGCTTGACGATTTTAACAACATTTAGAAATAATCATAACTATAAACGTAGGTCATTATTTAAAGGGAGTACAAATGAAAAGAAAAATTGATATTTTCCATTTTACTGATATTAAATTTTGTAGATCTGAAAACTGTTGTTAGCACAACACTTTTTTTCTTTCAAAAAGACAAAACTTCTAATGAATGATGTTTAAAATTCTCAAAGGTACATGACAAAACTGATTCGCTCTCACAATTTCCCTCCTTAATTTCCCTGGAAAATTGACAGGGCCTTTCCCAGGGATTGAAAAGTCCCTGAAAAACAGCAATAGCCCAAAAGATTTGTGAAAAGTCCTAGAATTTTCTAAATTGGGCTACCCACACATCCCTTTTTTTTTTTTTTTTTAATTCATGAAAGTCAAAATGCCAAATCTCAGAAATTTAGCTTTTTTACAAGCTAAAATTGTTGAAGAAAAAAATTTTTTTTTTTTTTTTTTGTCGTCAGTAATATTTGACAATTATTTCGAACAGTAGTTTATTTCCTTGATTAGAATGAGTTCATGACCTTGTAGTTACTCTTCTGTATTTTCTCATCTAGGGGATGAGAATGAATATGAAGGTGTGTCTTCTAGCTGCTACACTCACACAAGAAAAGAGGAAAAGCAAAGATAAGAGGTGTCAGAGACAAGTAAACATCTCTGTCAAAGATAAATTAATTCATAGTCACTGAATTTGTAGTTAAAAGGAAAATAATAAATTATTTTACAGTCCTAAAATACATTTTAGAATCTCAAAATAATTTTTTTTTTTTTTTAATTTGAACAATTAAAGAAATGTTATTCACATGTCATTTTCAAAAGTCAAAAATCCTTTTGATCTCTAGTCAGATAAACTCTAGATAAACTTAAATACAATTTAATTACTGCAAACATCCCTATAGAGGAGTTCGAATTTGCTGTTGAAAACCAAGCAAACTTGAGAAATACTTGCTACCAAGGTATGTGTAGTGATACTAGCAAATTAGTATGCATAATTTGCATGAGCACAAGTGAACACTCATAAGTGGTCACTGAGAATAACGAAGGATGGTAGAATGAGTTTAGCGGCTGATTAGTGCTAACCTCTACATCACAACAATGGTGTCAATGATAGGATATCAATTCTGGAAGATCTGGATTTTGTGGATACATGGATTCATTGTTTCGCTGCTACTGTGAGAACAAAAAAGTTGAACGACAACAAGGAAAAGGGAGGCGAAAATGAAATCACGGATTTATTTTTGGCTACAGCTGGATGCGAGGCAATAAAGAAAGTCTCCACCATGGCATATCCCTCAAATTTGGAAGACCTGACTTTTGAAAAATTAAGTCACATTATAAGAAGAAATATGAGACCCAAGCTGGTAGTGGCAGAAAGAACGAAATTCATGTTGATGAAACAAGAAATTGACGAACCATTTATAAAATATCTACACCGTCTACGAAATGCAAGTAGATATTGTGAATTTGAAAAACTTGGACAAGACGAACAGACTCAAGTGATTCAATTAAGATTAATTGAAGGTATGTGCAATGCATCACACTGATATAAAATAATGGAACAATTACAAATAGGAAACATGTCTTTAAATACATGTATTGACTTTATTCAGCAACAAGAACTAATACAGAAATACAACCATCATAAAAGTCAACCCAGCAAACAAATATTCGCTGATACGTTAAAGAAGATAAAAAAAGTGTTTGTATTGTGGACGTGAACATGAAATACAAAAGGAAAAGTGTCCAGCATTTGGAAAAACTTGTAATAATTGCTTAAAAAAGAACCACTTTCAAGCAGTGTGTAAATTAAAAAAGAAAAATGTTGAAAGAATTGAAGAAAACGACACCAATAGGGAAGTTTTTACATTAAAAAATAAGACTATAAAAAAAATTGAACATAAGAAAAAAGACATTATAGTAAAGGTCAAAATTAATAACTGCAATTTAGATATGCAAATGGATACTGGGAGTGAAGTAACACTCATACCAAAAAATTTTTGGGAACACATTGGTAAGCCACCTTTACGAAAAAGCAGTTTACAACTCCGCCAATTTGATGGGTCGGTTATAAAAACATTAGGATACTTTGAAGGTTCATTCGAGTTAAAAGACAAATTTGAAGTAATACCTATTGTTGTTACAAGTTGCAAAAAAGAACCACGGGCTTATTGGAAATGACATGCTTAACATAAATTCTACCAAGTTAATTAATGAAATAAAAATGGAAGAAACTGGAAAGTTAAAAAAACTATGAAGCAAGTTTAAAAGAAAATGTTTCCCCCTCTTATTGTGAGGCACGAAAATTACCAGTACATTTATTGCCATTAGTAGTGACAAAACTATGTAAATTAGTAGAACAAGACCTTCTTGAATATGTTCCGCCTGGAGGTAGCAAGTGGGCATCACCGATTGTAGTGTTGAGGAAAACAGATGGCGATTTATGTATTTGTGGAGATTACAAAATAGGAGTAAATCACAAGATATGCTCGGATTCATATCCCATACTTCAATGTTGAACTTGCATTACATGCACTGGCAGGGATGACCGTTTTTTTCAAAAATAGATTTAAAAACGGCATACCACCAAATACCAATAGACGAGAACTTCAAAGAAGTAACCACGATAAATACTCCAATAGGTTTACTAAGATGGAAAAGGATGCCATATGGAATAAAAACCGCAAGCGCCATATTTCAAAGGGCCATTGAACAGGTTTTAGGAAATGTACAAAATATGATTTGTTACCAAGCTGACATATGCATAGGAGCTACTAATGAAAAGGAATTAAGAGAAAACTCACTTAGTCTTGAATTGATTAAGAAATGCTGGAATGATAATAAATGAGAAAAAATGCGTAAGCAATTCTAACAAAATATCTTTTTTAGGTTATTCTATTTCAAAAGAAGATATATCACCAGACCAAGCCTTGATAGAAAAAATACTAAAAGTAGCTACACCTACAAATAAAAAAGAATTGGAGTCTTTTTTGGGATTGGTAAATTTTTACAGGCGATACTTATAAAAAAATACACGGACTTGACGGAACCATTTGTAAATTTAAGAAAAAGAATGTGGAATTTATGTGGTCAGACGAACAGCAAAAAGCTTTTGAAAGATTAAAAGAAATTATGTCAAAGAAACCTGTAGTGAAAATTTTTGATCCAAAAAAGGACATAACACTCACTACAGATGCAAGTGAACATTCAATATCGGGAATATTATCACAAGAAGGTCATCCGATAATGTATTTGTCAAGAAGATTAATGAACACTGAATTTAATTACTCGAACATAGAGAAAGAAGCATTGGTTATCGTGTGGACAACTACCAGAGCCTGACAATTTTTAATTGGGAAAAAATTTCTGTTAAGAAGTGATCATAGACCATTAGAGTTTATATTTAATCCAAGGAAAGAATTACCCAAAGTCACAACATCAAGGATTCTACGATGGGCGATAAGATTGATGGCATTTGACTTTGATATAGAGTATGTCAAAGGAAATTCAATTTCACATTTGGACGCACTATCAAGATTGAGGTTCTACAAGGAGTCAAAAGATAAAACAGAGGAAGAATTTGAAGATTCATTCCTACACTTGATAGAGACTGATGTTTTGTCTTTAGACAGAATGGCTGCGGAAACGAGACATGATCCAGTGCTAAGTAGGATAGTATCGAGAATAAGAAAAAACTTATGGGGAAATTGTTCTAGGGCGGAAAGATAAAGAAATAAGACACAAATTAACAATAGAACATGGAGTGATTTGTAATGTGGACGTGGTAGTTCCCCCAGAAACACAAAGAAAACCAATAATAGAAAGTGTACATGATGATATACACTGTGGAGTAGCGGCCACACAAAAAAGGATAAAATTAGAAGCTTGGTGGCTGGGATATTCAAGAGATGTTGAGAAATATGTAAAAAGGTGCAAAAAATGTAAAGAATTAAGAAACTTTACACAAACCAAATTACATTCGTAGCCCAAAGAAGTAGAGCCATGGAGTCGTGTGCATATGGATCATGCATACATTAATGGAGTGGGACTCTTATTAATACTAGTAGACTCCTTTTCAGGTTGGCCTGAAATAATCTAGGTTACAAACAAGAAAAGTTCTACTATAAAGCAGATTCTAAGAGTCATATTTTCCAGAAATGGCGTACCAAAAACCTTGGTATCTGATAATGCACCAGAATTTTGTGATGAAGAAAAAATAGGGTGTAAAGCATATAAGACACCTCCATATCACCCTCAATCGAACGAACTAGCAGAAAGAATGGTGCAGACCGTAAAAAAGGGACTAAAAGCATGCTCTCAGCAAAAAGAAAAAGTAGAAGTTTTTCTACCGAGGCTGCGTTTAAGTTATCGTACAATACCACATGCAGGAAGACTAGAAAGCCCATCAGCTTTAATGGGAAGACAGATTAGAGCTTCGCTAACAATGTCATATTCTATATTAAATGTGGTACAAAAAGAACAAAGATGCAGATCTGGAAAGGGCAGAATTTATCATGCAAAAAGGCCACAATACGGCTATAATAAATAGAGAAAATGGCAATAGTGTATTAGCCCATGCAGACCAAATAAGGCCCCAGGGTGAAGAGGAAGAGCAAAGCGATGAAGAAATGTCTTCAATTCCATCTAATAACGAGTTTGTAGAAGAACCATTACAGAAGGAAACTTCAGAAGACAAAATAATGCAGGATCAA